TAAATCATGAAATCCCCGGATTGCTGTGCTGTGACAGGTTATGCTTACTCACCGACATTAATTACACAACAGCATTGCCATGCCACGTGCTGAACTGCAGATAGCTATGCTTCAAGCATGCTTGTTTATACATGCTAGCATTCCACATTCTTTATGTTGACCGATTCATACTACGGTTATTAAAACATGATTTAAGTCTATTTAAGCCTTTCATTACAGTAGTGAGAGTTTTTATTTGAAATTATTGATAAAAATTATTTAGAATAGGCCTATATTATTTTGCCCAAGGCAGCAATGTTTATCACTTGTTTCATCTGCTGCAAAAAGCAGCGACAGCCACCACTTTTGTCCTGATGTCTGCTGCATGAAGTAGCAACAGTCATCACTTGTGTCCTGTTGTCTTCTGGATGAAGCAAAAACAGTCATAACTTGTGTCTTGTCATCTGCTGCACAAAGTAACAATAGTCACCACTTTTGTGTTCAGTTGTGTGCTGCGCAAAGTAGCAAAAGCCATCTCACTTGTGTCCTGTCGTTTGATTTACCAGGTAGCAATAGCTGTCACTTGTGTCCGGTCGTCTGCTGCAAGATGGCATGTCTATCGCACAATTTTTTAGACCAAGAAATGTTTGTAAAATTTATATTCTTATCAATTGCTTGTTTCTAAGTATATTTACTTACATTTAGAATATGTAGGCGACAATAATTACTGCAATGTCAAATTAAAGTCTTATTATATCATAGTTTCTTCGCTCAATTTCTAGAGAAATGCTATATTATTCTAAAGTATGTCAGATTTGCACAAATGAGTACAGTAATTTTTAACAATAGTGATAAAATGTGTCGTTTACAGGGAATAATTGATAGGCTTCCAAGTTATTTTGTTTTCAATATAAAAACACAGATTAAGAGGATAATTGAAATTCTTAATGGTAAGGGATAGTGTAGACCTAGATCACATTGTACTTTATAAAAGATTACCTTGTGCAGTTTCAAGACAGCAAAGATTTTATTGTGCTGTTTTGCGTAAATCCAACATCTGCATAAAGAATCTATAATTAGAAAATTTAAGCAATTAATGACATTAAAAACGACATGATGAATGCTTTAAATAATGTATGTCACATTATAAAATGGGTAAACAATAAGGAGCTAACAGCCAAAACATATTCAGCTCTGTTGCTGTAGGCTAAACTGAAGCTTGCAGAAAACCAGGGACATTAGTCTTACAATATGATTTATCCAAATTTTTATTACATTCTTCTTTTTCATGGATTTGCAATACTGTACAGTAGTATGGTATTTGTCATTCGTAAACACCTGTATTATATGAACCAGTCCTATATTCTGTATTCGTCACTCAGAAACCATCCATGCATGTAAACTAATATTTTGACAAAAATGTATTATGCAAAAATATGACTGTAATCGAAATATGCTGGCACCAAAAAACTATTAAACATAAAAACCTCACAAGGCTGGAAAAATCTAATTTTGAAATAGAATCACATGGTATGGTAACAGCTTCCAAATTCATCACATATTGGAGGAAAAATACTGATGAACTGTGTAATAATTCAACATTTGTGCAATTTTGTAACATATTGTATTGTTTTAAGTGTCTTGTTTTATATTGTATTGTATGTTACTTTTACGAATGCACAAGTGTGTACTGCTAATAATTTTAAAAGCTTTTTTTAAATAAAGTATTTTTACTAAATGTTTACTACTAAAATAGAAGAAAAGAAATTTAAGGGTATTATGGTAGACCCTATGCGTTTAATTTTTATCCAAATATGGTGTTTTTGTTGCAATGATTTTATTGGGTAGTTGATTAGGCATTTTTGAGAATTTAATATGGGTATAAATTGAGAATACTTGTGGGTGGTGGTCTTGTGCGTTCTCTTGTTTTTAAGCAGCTGGTGTTTTCCCTCATTAATTTTGAAGTATCTGTGAGTAATAACTTAGAAATCTTCATTGCTTGCTTTAAAGTCAAGTGGCTATTTGTATTGGAACTAATTAGAACTTGTAACTAGTTGGACTTGGCAGCAAATTCCAATTTGTCGTGATTTATATGGCTGAGGAGTTGTGGCATTCTGAAAGTGCGTGTGGTATAAGGAAAATCATAATAATAGGTGATCAAAGGACAGTGAAGATATGAAAATGAGAACAAAAGATGACTAAATGTCACTTGTAAATAATAATAATAATAAGTCTTACAGCGCATAAAGAAAGGGAGTATGTTCTTTACATGAACAAAAAGAAACATAAACATGAAATATCCAAATACTACTAAAAAGAAATACTACTGTAATTTTGGTAAACATTTCCACAAGAAAATGTATGTTACAAGTGTTGTAGACTAAACTAATGCTTTGTAGACTAAATTGATAAATATAAATCTACGAGAATATCCTTAAAATTCCAGTATATATCAGTCTAGAATGTGAATGTTTTCATTATTAGCTATAAAATCAGCCATTTCTTCCAATTCCATACCTTTTTTTGAGTGAGGGGTGTGAGCGCATTCACATTTTACTACTGTACTAGTATTATTTCTTATAATTTGCTTTCAAATAAAAATGTATATTCTGTACAGAATAGAAACTTTTCATGTCATCTAACTGCTGTTTTATACTGTTTTATGAATAATTTAAAGGACAAAGATGAATAAAAAATCTGTAAATCAATAAAACTAATTTTTTAATTTGAAATTTCAGTGAATCCTTTAAGTGAGTCAATTCATTGTTTTAAATGAATTTGTTCAGATATTTCAGATTTTACTCTTTTTATTTCTAGAATTTGGATGCGGATGGAGTTAATGAAGCAAAAATTAATGATAAATTGTAGCCTAGGTAAATCAATAATACCCTAAATGATAATTGCTTTTACAGTTTACTATTTAATTATTTCCTTGATCTTTGCTCAGATTAGTTCCATACTTTTCCTGGTTTCAGCAAAGTAAAGGAATATGTTGAGATTTATTGAACTTGGGCTGATTTTTCTCACATAAATTCATTAGTGGACACTTCTGAGCCCAATAGTTCTTTAAACCTGGGACTTGGTAGAGGCATTGTTCAAGCACAGGGGAATGTAGGTGTTTTTCTGTCATTGATTGATACTTCAGGCCTCTGTCAAGTAAAAGTTGGAAAAGATTTTTATCCTATTGAAAGCTGTCCACCTAAGACCTTTATGATGATTAATATTTAGCACTTATTGATTTATTTATATTCAATTTTGGGCTTACAGACAGTCAGCCTTGGTAAAAACACCTGTAAGGTTAAACAAGTTTTGATCCTTTTCTAAATATAGGCACTATTATTAAATATTATTTGGGATGAATTGAAAATTATATAGTAAAAATTGATAAAGAAAGATTTGGAATGAATTGTTTCAACAAGGACATTTTAAAAAGTCCTTGGTTTCAGTGAATCGCCACTGTTCTTATGATAAAAAAAAATTGCCTGGGAACAAATAATTCCAAGTTATCCCACATAAGTAGAGTGATCAATTAATTTATATAAACATATTTGGGTATTAACATTCATACTGCATATGCCAACATGGATTTAACTATTGTTACGTGGTATTCATTGTTAATTGCCTGTTAACAGAATCGTCTGGATTACAAAGAGAACAATTATTCTGCACCGGCCAATGATTTCAAAGGCTACTATAAGAATGACGCCAACCAAAACTTTCCCATGGTAACAAGTTGCTCAGCAACGTAAAATCATAGTTTATGAGCTGCCCCAAATAAAGCATATTTTATTTGTTGGAGAAATATTTTTTTTATTAATATATTTTATAATATTTCAGCCTTATAATGAATAGACAGCGCAATATACCAGTAAGATCTCTAACACAATATTTAGGCCAAAAAAAAAAATTAAAATAATTAGTTTGTGATCCTATTTAGACTGGAAAAGTAATGAGGGAGAGGGGTTTGTATTGTTTATATTGGTAAAGCCAAATATCACCCTTGGTTTTTTTTTTAGTTTTGTTTTGTGTTTTTTTTTTTTTGCTGGTGTGTTTTTATTTATTTATTTATTTTTCTTTTAAATTTTTTTTACCAAATACTATAGAAGAGATACAGGCATGGATGATAAACTAACCATTTTAACCTTTGGTGCAATAAATAAATTCAATAGCTAACTGTAGTTAGTATATTGTGATCATCAAGAAAGTTTTTTAAAAATGCAGTGTCAGCAGGGCTGTGAAAAGGGGGTGGACCTGGGTCCGGGACTTGAGTATTTTAGGGCTAGGCTAACAAAAAATACATTAAAACTATACCAATATATATAAGGGCTAGCAATTAGTTTGGCAAAACCAGACCTTGGTCCAGCAAAAAAAAATTTTAGGCTCTGGTCAGATACTATAAAGGTAAAAAGGTGAACTGTTTCTTCAATGACGTCATGCACTTAATACAGTACTCTGATTACAAGTTCAAAATAGTGTCTACCCCAAAAATATGTGTATCTGAGTGTGTTCCTAAGAATGTGTATGACTACCATGGAGGTGGTTAGTTCCTGGTGCTTTAATTGCGCTGGTATGCCTTCAACCTGGCCTTCCCGGTGATTTATAAACAACTCATACTAAGTTTTTGATTAGTTAGTACTTAGTACTCAAGAGTGGAGAAATTTCCAGATGCCCTTGATCTAAAAAAATATGAATTGAACTCAGTGATTTTATGAAGTAGCAGGGATTACAAAGTAGCTGCATTACAGATAAGCTTCTCAGAAGTTGAGTAGGTCTTTTGGAATCTGCTTAAAAGAGGAAATATATAAGAAGGTACTAATTGTGCAGATGATGGTAACCTGGTAAAACCTTGTGATCTGGACACTCACCTGTGGGATTAATTTATTGATAATCTTAATCTTGTATTACCTATTATTTTGTAATGATTTAGCTGGAATGGAAATACTGTAATCTGCCCTCAGATTCTTTAGTCATCTAAAAATCTATCAGCTCAATATCAGAATTCAAGAACATCATAGCAATACAGGTGCCTTCAAGTTGGAAGATTGCAATTATTGCTTTAAACCAATTATTTGAAATTTAATTTTGTTGCTATATGGCGGAGAAATGCTTATTGGATGTCTTGCATACTGTCTTTGATTTGCTTCTCATCAATTAGTCTCTAACAAGGGCTCATAAATCGACCAATCACTTGCTTGATTAGTTACGCATAAGCAGTGTGGATGCTGTAGCTCTGGTAATTTTATTGGGTTGGTTTTTGCCTGATTAAACCGCTTCAATGATTGTATACAGCGGTGAGTGAAATCATTGGGTGCCTAGCTGAGCTACAAAGCTATTCCTATGTTGATTCCCACGAGCTAGCTCATTCTCTTAGCATCTGTTCCTGAAAAAAGTTTATCAGTAGTAATATGGATGATGGAATACAAGTTCCTGATATGATGGGTCATCTTACATTGAAATGCTTTCCATTTCTTTCATTTTGATATAAACGCTTTAGACAGGAACTTCAAATCTCATAGTCTACAACAGCAGTGATTTCAGTAGTGTTTTTCGAAGATCGCTAAACAAATGATTTGAAGCTGAAATATATTTTTTTCGATTGTTTTTAAAGCGTGAGGAAAATTCTGTGCTCTGTTTTCTGCATTATTCATTCATCTACATTCAATGTTGATACCAGGATTTTGAAAAATATTCACTTGAGGCCTAAGTGAAATTTGAACTATCTTGTACCAATATTCTGACTTCTGGCATCCAAGTTTCATGTCTACATTTTTGGTATTCATGGGTGATATTTTCTTGGTGGCTAATAATGATTAAGGAGTTTGTTTTTTAAATGTATATTTCAATAAATCACATATGATAGATTGCAGTCGAGTATTTAGGATTTCATTCCAACTCGCTCTACTTCTCTGATAACTTGAAGCAACAGTTGCTTGTGTTGAGGTAATCTGTATCTTAAACCTTATTTGTTCTTTTCCTCAAGATTCATTATAATTGAACAAGAGATTATTTTTCTCCAATTTTCTGTCAAACAATGCATTACTTCAAGAGGCTAAAACACTTTTAACACACCCGGGAACACAACCTTTGAATGCAGTTGTGACACAAATGTGTATTTTTAATGCATTATTTTTATGGAATTTAGTTATGATTTTTCACGATGGAACGCAGGTTCACATGCTTTGAGCTGTATCACCAGCTTCGTACTTACGCATGTACAAGTCGAGAGTTGTTCGAGCTCCAAGCAATCATGTTAAAGTTTGTTGTTTATAAAGACAAAGATCATAATGATCAGAACAATAATGCAAATGTGGGAAAGGATGGAACTTTAATTGGCAATGGTGAATTACTAAACACAGGTTGGTTTGTTGTACATCTAATTCATAGAATTATAGGTTTTGGTTAAAAGATCAATTTAAATTCATTCCAGATGAGATTGAGACAAAGATAAGCATTGTCAGTATTAGTTGATAAAGGGTTCTTTCACAGTAGTACCGTACTCAGTAATATATACTTTTAGATACCTAGGATACTATGTGTTTAATGGTAAGAATTTATCTTTGTTCTTCATTTATCATTAATATAATTGAGCTACTTTATCCTTTTACAAATCTACTAAATCCCAAAGACTTGCAATGGTACAGAGACAGTTTTGTAAATTTCGCTCATATTGGTAGTAATCAATATGAAAATATATGATGTAATGCCAGTTAGCAACAGTATATATACATTTTATCAGACCAACAGCGGAAAGTAATCACTAATTGCAGGCTTGTAAAATATATCTTGAAGACCAGAATATAAAAGATATGACAACAAGGATATAAATAAAATGAAAAGTTATACCAAAATGATTGCAACTTTAGTTGTCAATTGCAATAAGTCAAAGATTGCCAAGAGACTGGTTAATTATAATAATATGATATATTTATGATTGCAATATTTTATAAATATATTCCCAGAGGGACATATCAAATAATGCTCAAAGAGCCGTCAGTCAAATCAATGCTATAAAATGACCAGGTATATTAAGTTTGTCTGATTCTAAATCCATAGAGGAATGGTGATAATTTCTTTCACCTGTCATCAGTAATATAAGTAATTGTCATGAGTTTGTCTAATTTTAACATCTGCTACCGGTTCTTTTTAATCTAATTCTTATTACCCGAGGTAAAACCTACTCACTATATTCTAGCTTTTGTACAGTTACTCTGAGGTCATTTACCTATATGGCATCTCATACTGTAGGCCTAGTTAAGATTTGTTTTGAAGAAAAGCAATTGACATTTGGAAAGTATAAATACTATACAGCTATGATGTAAACCTGAATCAACAATAGAACTAGTTAAATTCATCTGTTACAGTATAATAACAGTAGTTCAAATGCAAAGGAGCTGAATACATTGTTTTATTCGGAACAGCTATAACCTATTGAATTGTCCCTGTTACACTGCCAACAGTAACTTTATTTGTACAGTGAACAGACAGACTAAACACTTAATTCCTGAAGATTAGCATAAATATTTTGAAATTTATATAAATGTTACCATGGAGCATTCTTCCATGATGTTACCAATACAAAAAATATTATCTTCAGGAATAATATATAGAAAATATCAAAGTATGGACATTTACAACAGTTATTCATAAATTAAATTGACATTGACTGCCAGTACTATAGAATAGAGTCACCAAAATACAAGTTTTTTAATACAAGTTATTATTATTATGAACATCATAGAATATGTGTAATATTATACAAAGTCTAAGTGCTAAGTGTAACCTAAGTAACTGATGTTAAGTGCTATAGAAGGTCTAAGTGTAATGTAAGTGCAAATGTATTATTGCCAACTTTCCTTAGACGTAAATATCGATGTGCTGTCATTATTCTCCTGTATGTTTGAGTTTTGTCATGATAAATCTCCTCATAGTCTCTAAATGACTATCTCAAATTTTTTTTATATCCTTTAGTTTGTTCTCTTTTCAGTATAAGCCTAACAATAACAGTATCATATTTTTGGGTCAATTATGAATCAAACTATATTTATAAAAGAAAAAAACTTAAGATAATTTGCTTCCAATTCTATGGAATTTTTTGTTTAACAGTAATTGGCTATTTGGCGAGTAAATTGAATGTTAATTGTAATATGAATTTTTAGTATTATGCAAGAACTCACCCATCCTCTTTACTGTAATTATACAGTTATTGTAATGCCTCAGGTAAAGCATCTTATTCGAACATAATTTTAGATACCTTTATCTTCTTACGCTACCTGACCCACACTTCCCCTTCCTCCAGTACATTTTATATATGATTTGATTTGTTTATTTTTCTTTCAGAGTCGTTTCAAATGAACAAGTATAAAGATGGTCCAAAGAAGACCGTCCGTATTATGACCAATGGCTACATAACGCCAACAGGTCGCTATCAGGGAGATTCAAGCTACGGAAGCGCGTCTCCCACGTACAGTTCACCAGCGAGCAGTACCCAACGAGTATCGCCAACAATTGACCTAGATCCTGACAGAGGCACTCCGACCTCTCAGACTAGTATTGACCAAAAGAACTCTAAATCAGATTCACTGAGACCACCATCCAGGACATCTGGTGAGATAACAGTACAAAAGAGCGCCTTGAAAAAGAGAACTCTTACGAAAAACCTTAAACCTTTGTTTGATCTGCTCCCGGACGATTTAATAATTAGAATTTTGTCATATTTACCTAGCAGACAATTATGTAGAACTGCAGGAGTAAGTCGTAGGTTTTATAAATTATCATGGCAACCTGTGTTGTGGACTAATATCAGAATATCTGGTGAGAGAACAGACATTGACAGAGCAATGAAAGTCCTTACAAGGAGATTATGTCAGGAAACGCCATATGTATGTCTTTCGGTTCAAAAGCTTGTTTTGAGTGGATGTGAACGTTTAGGAGAGAAAGGACTAACTCTAATCGCACAGCGATACCCAGAACTGCAGCATTTAGAACTGTCAGGTTGCACAAATTTAACAAATGAAGCACTTTTCGAAATTGTTTCCAAATGCCTTCAGCTGGATTATCTTGACATATCAGGTAAGTCTTCAGGCATTCTTGTCAAATTTATAAAAATTAATCTTTTACTATATCCCTAGTTGTACCTGTTGCTTGTTTATAATGATTTGCATAATTTATGAACTAGTCTGGTTTTGGTTTTGTGTCTTAATTCAGAATAGGCATTATAAATATTAAAGTATATGAACATTTTGTAAAAGAATTTTTTTAAAATTCTTTTTTCATACTTTTTGCTTCATAAAATACAACACAAGGAAACAGATGCTCACAACTAATTAAAATAGTACACACAATTAGGAAAAATTAAAAATATTGATATTAATAATAAGCAGACAAGATTTACATAGTGCTATGGCAATCTGACCCCTGGGTAACTGTCAACTTTGAACTTTAATTGACCCAATAAAATGCAATATTGAAAATCAGATGCTTTTGTCTATATGTTCGTTAAAGAATAGAAAAACAGTACAACTTACAAGAATTTTTTTCATTAAGTGGAGGTCATAATATACAAATTATGTACCAGAATCTAGCATTATGAAAGGATATATAAAATATAAGAGTTACAGTAATATTTTGAGTAGAGGTGATGTAAAGAACTAATAATAATCACAAATCCAAGGAGTAAACTTTAATATAATTTTTAATGTTGCGAAACTATAATTTCGGTTTTCAATAGACATAACTTTGGAGCAATATTTTTAAATTGAGCTACAATTCTTAATGCTAAAGGTCTGACAGACTAAAAGCCTATTCAATCATGCCTTAACCATCTGAAAGTTTCAATAATTTAAATAATGAATGATGTGAAACCCTATGTCTACTGTCACGAACAAAAATGTTTGAAGAACAGTTATTTATTTGGTACTTGAAACATGATCACAAAAAATAACAGTTTAAATCACACAAAAAATACCATTAGGACACACTCAGTCTATAGTAGGTTATCAGTCACCCAAATAACAGATAAATAGCAACATACTGTACAATAAAAAAAAGTGCAATGAATCATGAATGTGTTTTAAAGTATGATTTTAAATATTTTGGTAACAGAATGTGTCAATAGGCACTAAAACGACATACTGTATGAATTTCCCATGGCAGAAATAATATATATCGTTTTTTTTTATTTTGCAAAATTTTTTTATTTTTTTCCCTACCCCCCTCCCACAACTTATTTTTCTAGTCTCAAGTTTTGTTCTCTTTCTGTGGCTCAGCCATACTTCATCATTTAATGGAAACATGAGACCTGTCTTAGAATAGAAAAAATATAGAAAAAATATAGAAATAAATTTTAATAATGAAGAAGAAAATTATAATATTGTACCCTATACAGTAGATTCAGTTTTATTGTTTATTGTAAAAAAAAACCTGAATATGATAATGGTGTTATATGTAAAAAGTAATATTGTCGCTATGACACCCTCGTCACACAGAAATTTTATTATAACATGCCAAGAATGATTAGATTCACTACCTGATTTGGAGAGCTAATGAGTGCAACCCGTGATGACAAGTTGATTTAATTATCTCTGTATTTGTAGTTGAAGACCTCCTAGCTCTTTTTGAAACACTGTCATCAACGTTGTTATGTTACACTGGATAACAGCAAAATATCAACATGATTGATTACTATTTTTATTGATTTAGCCAGTGGTGTCAGTATTTCTCAAGCTTTTTAATACCGTTTTAAAAATCTAAAGTATAAAGTTTTGTTTCAAACTTTAATTTACTTTTTCTCATCATTTTCCCACACCTTCCCTTAATTTAGTTGCTTACATGTGGCTATATTTTCTCTTCCCTTTTCTTAGCACATACACACAGCGCCATAGCCTGCGTTCCAGGCCCTAATATTGGGTTACTCACTCTTTATTGCGCTAAGTGCGTGCCATACCTAATTCAATTGGTGTCCCATACTCGAATTATTTTTTTATTTTATTTTTTTTTATTATTATTCTCCTTATTCTGTCTCAAAATTAACTTGCTTGTTGGTGGCGCTGTCGAGGATGAGAAAAAACAAAAATGAGGGACTTGTGGCAAGTCTAGGCAACTTAGCCGACTGAGCTAGCCCTCTTGTTTTTAGTATTTCAATTTATATACTTTCTATTGTTTTTCTTCTTTTCATTTCTGTGCCTTTCCTTCATCAATTTCCAAGTACAGTAATTGTTTTTGTGTACAGTTATACAGTACCCTTTCCCCTCCTTGATAAGGATGTTTTATTTGGCTATACATCTGCTATGAACTGATGGATGTTTAGTATAACATTATAGACTTTTGACCCTAATTAGGGGCTATTGGTCATTGAAATGGCCATGTATCATAAACTTGAGACTTCTTGGCTCTCAAGTGCCTTAATTCTGGTACTGAGGTCACAAAATTTATCCTCTTTTTCCAAGTTGTTGAAAGTTTTATCATCATGTCTGAACTTGTGGTTGAAAATTAGATCCTCTTGTCCACATGTTTGTTTAGGAGAATACACAAGTTTCTGGAAAAATGTTTAGGTGGTTTGTCAGAATTAGAGGGTGTGTCGATTGATGTGTTTGAACAGATATCCGGGTGATAATGATACTTTAGTTGGAAAAAACTATTGTCAGGGTTTTAGAATTTGACTGGATTGTGGTTGAAAGATAGCCTCATTAGCAACAGTAATGTATGAGATTGATTATGTTATCTATCCATTTTACAAAACAGCAACTTGGTGACTGATGATTGACTTGTTATGTTTGTGTTTTTTTTTATGCTCCAGCAAATTTTGTTTATAGCCATTTCATTATTGTATATGTCATACGTAATACATTCCTCTATATTCAGCATGTTGAACATTGGATTGACAGCTTAGTATGACTAAACTGGGCTTTTTTTAGATAAATTTAGGATTTGATTAAGAAAAAAATGGCTTAAAACGGCTTAAAAATTAAGAACAATATAAGAACAAATTGAGGCTGAGGTAAAATTTTAAATAAGAATTCAAATCTTATCAGTATCATATTTTTCAGTAGGTGTGATCATGGTATGACCTTGTAATACCCTCTGTTGTAAAATAATAATTGTCTATGTTTGATAAATAAGAGTGTAAAAATATGAACATTTTTTAGCCTGAAATTGGCAAAAAAAAAAAATCGGAAAACTGAGCCTGGGCAAAATTTTACTGGTTTACCTGACGTGTTATTGTAGCGAATACTCGTGAGTTCCCAAATACTGCAAACAAAAATTTGCAACTGACTCGGCTGGTTTATTTATGTATCAATAGGCATGTATTTTTCTTTAAAAATTGTCCATTTTGTAAATTTCATCTTTGCTTTTACCTTATCAGACATTTTGAAAGAATTTTCTGTCAACAGAATTCTGTATCAACCATTCAACCTATAGTATGCAACCCACTGAGTTATGATACCTCTGCCAGTTGGCTAGCAAATGCCAATGTTGACTTTCGTAGTTAGTCGCATGTTGGGATACTTTGTGATCGACAGTATGGAAAATGGGTCAATTTCATGTATTCTGGCTATTTTGATTTGAAACTGTGGGGAGAAATGTTAAATTGGTTTCAAAGTGAAGGAATTTTCGGAAGTAATGCCACTTGCCCATGGCTTGTTTAATAGATTATTCGGCCTGAGGCTGTGTATTATAGTATTTATAACTTTCTGCAATTGCATTTAGTTTTAATATCTATTTATTTTCAGGGCAAAAAATATTATTTGAGCATTTGAATTTTTCTTATTTTCATTCATTTTTAAAATTCTTTGACTTTGTCTGCATCTTATTTTGTAGGCCTCTTCCATTAATACTTAAATACATATTTCAATGATTTTCCCCCTAAATTATTTACTCAATATCAAAGATAATTATTATATAGCTGTTATAATATAAATGTTAATTTGACATTATTAAACATGACCATGATTTTCGTTACTAAAATACCAGATACCAAATTACGATCATTACCAATTTTGGTTTTTATGTGAAGTAGTTATAAATGAATTACTCGATAAATTTCACGAGACCCTTGAGGGTTTTGCAGGACCAAAAATATGCGGGGTATGGCAAAGCGACCAATAGGGTAGAGTAGGCTGAGATTAGTTGGAATTACACTAGGACAACTGATCAAACTGACAAAGAAACTTATGAATCTTGGGTTAACGACTTAGATGATAGCTACCACCTGATCAATATAGATGTTTTGAACTTTGTTCTTATAATTCCTACTCCCCTCATACTGCTTGTGGTGGAGGCATAGCTAAAGTAGGCCTATAAAAAAACAAACCACTGCCAAACATAATAAATATATTACAAAAAAAAAAGAAATTACAATATCCCCAAGAGTGGAGTTGTACTGTATAGCTTTGATTAAGATACTAGCCTTTTAATCCAGGGTCCAGGGTTCAATTCCTTTTATTGCAGGTTTTTTCCCATGAATTACAAAAAGTAGCTCCATGTTGTAAACATCATAGGGACTTATACCCGATTCACACGTGAAGTTAAATTTAACAAAAAGTAACAAATTGTAACCGAGCAATCTCCCGAGTTATTCCTACCGAGATAAAAAGCATTCACACGCGTCTGTAAGGTAATGCCAAGGTTGTGTAAAATTTATTCAGTGTTTATTCAATGAACCATTTTTTCCCCTACTGCGATATAGGTCTAGCATAGGCCTAGTTGAGAACCCCTGTCACAGATGGACTGTTGAACTCACCATCACAGTAAACATTCGAAGCAATCAATACCCTTAACAACTGCTGTACTACGTACTACTACTAAACTAGGCATATAGCTTCCAACGTTTCTGTCTCGGACTCTTGTAATACTAGTAATAGTACTAACACCATCCCAACGTTCATTTTATGTATATCTTCTTCTTCTACCATTACTAATTAACATCAAATACAAGGGTAATTCATTCATCATTTAGAAAAACTAGGCCTATCTATTTCTAGTGGATCAGAATCGTATACAGTCTAGATGTGTATAAGAGACAATTGTTGTTGTGTTGAAATCCCTGCGCATGCCAGATCCATCCATGTTACATCTCGGAAGCTTTACCAGCCTCAGCGAGGCTGGTAAAGATTACCGAGACGTTCCGAGATTTTACAAGGATATTACACGGAGGTACTTTCACACGTGCCGTAAAATGTTATTTTTGGTTACATTTTGTTACATTTGGTAAGATTTTTGTACGTGTGAATCGGGTATAAGTTTATAAAGCATCATTTCTTTCTGTAATTGGAAAGCTATGATGTTAATGAAAAATAAAGAGATGAAACTGTGTGCTGAAACATGTAAATATTCCATGTTCCTCCCTAAATTGAATAAATTAAGTTCTTGGAGTTTGTTAGTGTTTATACCCTCATGTGTCAAACTTGTTGCAGGACCACACTGACACATTTGCATCATATAAAGTGTTTTTACAGCCTATTGCTGTCAGTATTGCCATTAATAGTTTTTAAATTTTGTTAGGTACCATCATTCCCATTGTTATGGCCTGAGGGTCAAGTTTGCCTATTTCTTTTTTAGTAGAACCTTGAGTTTTTGAATACTGTAACCTGTAGGCATTGCAAAAAATGTGTCTTCAAATCAGCATAATTGTCTTGACTAAGGTTTAACAGTTGTGAAATGAGTTTTTTATTTTACCCCCATTCAGTTTTTACATAAAACCTATTTAAGCTGATACCTTAAACAGTGGGATCCTAAAATTGGTGAATTTGAGTGCTTTAGAACCAGAGCAGTCCATGTACAGAATTTAATGTAGTAGTACAGGTACTGTGTGTAAGATTGGGTAATCATCGCATCGTGTGCGCGTGAACAATTTTGTGGCGATTGAAGACACCTGGGCCTAGAGTATAATATTTGGACAGGTTTGTGAAATCAGGTGTACAGTTCATACCAGACTGATGGAAGAGAAAATGACTAAAGGAATCCAATAATCCACATCCATGGCCTACAACAGTGAGTAGGTGTAAATAATGTACACTAACGTAATTCTGCATGGATTAAAACCTGTATCATATTTCATTGAATAGAGTTGTCAACCTAACACTCTGACCACTCTGACACAGTTAATTCCTCTGCAAAATGAAAATCACATTGGGATTTGGTTTATTGAGGGCAAAGGAGTCTTAACATAATAATCAGAAAGTCAGGGTACATGCTGTAGGTGGTGGTAGAAAAAAACAAATTAAGTAACGGTAGTACTTTAAATGTAGCCCTTGGAATTTGATCAGGGTGTGTTCTGAGTTGATTATAATTAGACCAACAAAATCAGGCTCTTCATATAATGTACAGTAAACATGGGTGTGCTATAGGCTAGTGGTAAGGGATGATGAAGTGCTAACATTTTCACTATTTCTGTATTGATGTTGGTGCTCCCCTTGTAATTGCATCGGTATTTCTGGCACATAGTCATGGTATCCCTAGCAACTAATTTCTATGTTCATTAGTAAACTGTTCTTCCCTGAGGTCCAGGGTATGATCTTAAACATTAAATTACAAAAATAAAATTAAAACCTATATAATACATAATGACACAAATAAAACAAAAAGGAAAAACAAATGGGTAAATTAAATGAGATTTTTAAATAATTGTAAAGAAAGAGAATGAACATTGCTAGGAATATCTGATGATAGATTTGTTCCATAAATTAACTGACCGGTATTTAAAAGTTCTTTTTCCAAAATCATATCGCCATTTTGGCAGGATCAAAGTGTTTTTCAATTTACTTCTTGTATTTATGTTATGATAGGCATCAATTAATTGGTAAAAATTTAAGTGTTCTGGAACAGTGCCTGATAAGCATTTAAATGTCATTATTAAAAATATTATGTTCCCATTATTGGTTTATATACTTCCAGTTCAGTGATTCCATAATATCCTTAACAGGTGTTCTTATTATAGTACATCAGTGTACAGAATAATTCTGGCAAATTCTGTTAAAAGAGTGGGGTTTTTTTTATAATTGTCTAATAGGTGCATATGCATTCATTTATGCTCTGCAATTATTCAAAATAGATAAACGTTGCAGCCTATTCGTTAATTTACAATAATCTTCACCAGCTCCTAGCCTACAGTATAAAAAAAAATCAGATAAATTCCAAAGGGATTTAAGAAAGAAAACAAATTCAGATGTTATTGTTATAAAATAATGGTGTGAGATTGTATCAGAGATGCTATCTTATTGTTAGTTTAAATCCCCAGGTGTCTGTGATGCAATGTTGGATCATGCCCACTGTAACTGATATGCCCCAATTAGCCCCTGTTTCCATACCTGCACACAACTAACCAAGCAAGGTAACAACGAGAAAGCACAATGTTGTAACTTAAGCAGGGACACCATTTTTGATTTTGTGCCAGAATTTAGTCTTGTGTCAATATGCTGAAATTTGTGCTTAAGAAAATATGTAAATACTATATATTGTGACAAAGGCGACAGTTGGTAACATCCACACTATGTATTCCTATTTGGCGCCACTACTCGTGATAATCGTGAAACATGTAATGCTATATTGTGTACAAAGGACCAACAACTTAATGTTTCATTCAAAGGATGACGTGTAAAATATTGTACGCAACTACGCATGTTATTGTATAGAAAAGTGCAAGCATGCTATCTGAACTGTATTGCTACTGCGTCTCCAGACTTTTCAATATTTATAACATTAACAATAGCGAATAAAAATGACGATTTTCCTTTTACGTATGCCGACAGTATTTATAAAAACTATGTTAATTGCTTACGGTTTTAAGAAAAAAAATCGTAGACCAATAAAATCAAGACTCATTTTAGTGGTACTGATTTTCGACTGAATTTTTTTTTACTTAAATACATCTTATTGTTCATAACAATGATTTTCATTTTATTTGCATAAGTTGTCTTGAGATTGAAGTGTTTATTTTTGCACTTCAAAAGCAAGTCAATTGTTGAAAAATCCTCTTTATTCCTACTCATAAGAAATGTCGGTAACCTCGCCCTTAATAAAGAACGAGAACTAGGTTATCAATTTAACCTATGTTTCCTATAGTACAGATTTTAGGTGATAGAACTATCAGTCCTTTTATTGTGGTGCTTCTTCAAAGAATTTGTTAATCAATGTATCATGAAAGCTCATCATTTAACAATTTATAGTCCATCAACTCCCGTATTTACCTGTATCTAACAGTACTGGTGTCGTAAACTGGTACCGTACCTTGTTTTCCAGACATGAAATGTACTGTCTAAAAAGGTATGCCCTTCAAAGTTGAAGCATTAGCAGTTCCTGCAATTTAGCTTTGCCTTTCATAAACAAATTTTAATGTTGTTATGATACTATATTGCTTTTTGGATTGTATATAATTGTTGACTATTTCATGAAATTAAACTATTTTTTAATTGTATTTTAATTTCTTTTTTCTTCATAGGATGTCCACACATTACATGTTTCAACTTATCATCAGAGGCAGCTTCGGAGTCGTGTCAATTGCAAGGTCAAAGTTTACGTTTACGACATCTAGACATGTCAAATTGTGCCGCCCTCGATGATAAGGGATTAAGGACAGTAGGTTTGAATTGCCCGGGATTACAAAACCTCTACCTTAGAAGATGTCAACGTATCACAGACGAGGGCTTAAAAGAAATAGCAAACTGTTGCTCCGTTTTAAAGGAGATCTCGGTCATTGAATGCCGCAGAATTACCGACTATGGTATGAGGGCGCTATCAAAGATAGGTGCCTCTCTTCGACACGTCAGTATTGCAAAATGTGATCAAATCACAGACTTAGGAGTACACTCAATAGCAAAGTACTGCAGTAAGTTACGTTATCTTAACGTCAGAGGTTGTGCATTTTTAACGGACAAAGCTATGGTGGATCTGGCACGTGGATGTGTACGTTTGCGATCGCTTGATATTGGTAAATGCTCGCAGGTGACTGATCAAGGAGTGACAGCCTTGGCAATAGGGTGCATGTACCTGCGTAAACTGAGTCTGAAGGGTTGTGTACTGGTGAAGGATGAGGGCATCCACATGATGGCGCAGTATTGTCCGGAACTCCAGCAACTGAATATCCAAGAGTGCCAAGTGTCAGTCGAAGCATTTAAAACATTCAAGAAAACTTGTCGGAAGTGTATCATTGAACATACAAACCCAGCATTCTACTAGTCTGTAAATCCAGTTGTTAACGAGTCTTTAATGTCCAGTATTTCTCATTGCAGTATTTCAAAACTGTTGAAAGAGTGATAATTTGATCTCAATGCTGTAGCAGCCCTTCTTAAATATCCAGGGTGTATTTAAAAAATATCTGTTACAGTTAAGTCCAAGCTATACTTATAATAATGTATCTTCCATAACCTTTCAATTCATAGTTGCGAAATGAAAACAACAAAACATGTGGGAGATGTTGCCGCCGCGATTGCAGTTTGATCTCCCAACTTTTTGGTTGGGTTTTCAAATCCTCACTCTGTGGGTGCATTTTGCTTGTGTCCTTTTACAAGGCACTTTATACACATTTTCTCTCCACTCAGAAGTATAAGTGGGTACCTGGTAGGGTTAGGATGCCCAAATGGGTTGATTAGCTGCTGCAATGTTATGGAATACTTTCCAGGGATCTGAGGGTGTGTGTTCCATAGGTGTTTAATAGATTGACTGGTGTAATAATAATGTGAATTGCATAGAGGGAATAGCATTGGCCTATATATGACTAGACTACCATTATTGATAGGAGTGATGTTTGCCCTACAACCTGACACCAAACTACTGTAGTTATGTGGTGTTTGTGGGTGTGATTCCCAGCTAAATCACTTGCGAGATTCTTTTTTTTTGTAAGTATTTATTATTAACAAACTGAGTATTCAGTACGATAACACGTGATGTAGGGTAAAACATCACTCCTATGAAATTTCTGATGCAAACAACATCAAACTACGATTAGTATTATTAAAATAACAAAATTGCATTTTTCAATTAACTTGATACTGGAAAGGATGTTGCATATATCGTCGCTCACATCACGAACTAACACAATTAAATTCAATTGTGTTAGTTCGTGAAATCAAAAAAGCGCGTCAAAATACGCGCTGTTGTCGTTAAGGACTTTTTGTGTGGTAAAGAATACAAAATTGCGTGACAACCAATACGCTCTCGTTTTGACGCGCTACTGTGATTTCACGAACTAACACAATCTACTTTGATTGTGTTAGTTCGTGATGTGAGCGACGATATTTAGACCCAAAAGTGTATATGTTTAAATAAGTGTTTATAGGTACTTAGGTAAGTGTTTATCAAAAAGTTATATTTGTTTTATATTGTGTGTTAAATTATACATAGTTAAAAAAACTACATTTAGCCTTGCTATGATTGCAGTATGTACAATAGTGACAATCAGTATGCTGTATAAAATAAAGTGCTTCCAAAGTTATATTGTAAGACATGTATAAAACTACTGTAATATTATGTAAAATATATGGTTAATTAAAGTCTTTTACAGAATTTGAAAATTGCTGACTTTCAACAAGGCCAAATAAAAAAAATTATTGTGTTGGCCATGCCAAATTCAGGGTTGGCATTTTAGTTGTTTTTTTTAAATAATAACCTTGAACTAGGCTAGGGAGCCAAGGCCTAGCCTATTTTGGTACATGGTACACGATGCGAACCCACAATTGTTGTGTTTTAATATGTGTATTTTGTACTTTTTAAGCGTACATTTTTGGTTTAAAAAAAATTAAAAAAATGTTTTCCTACCGACCTACCCATTTTTTGGATTTTCCAAAACGTGGCCAACACAAAAATTTTTGTTTTTTGGCCCAATAGCAAGTCCAAGTTGGAATTTATACTTAGTTTACTCTAGAGGGCAGTATACTATATTTTGACATTGTCAGAAGAAGTACACATTTGATAGTGGATCAACTACTCTTGTCCATGTCAAAGCATAGTAGTAAACTAATATCGATATGGTCCAAAACAACATGTTATTCAAACAACAATTAAATATTAACTTCCATTATTATGAGCTGAATAATTTTTTTATTATCTATATTCTGATAATTTGTTTTTACCATAATTTCAAAAAATATTTTTCAAGAAACAAAATATAAGCTAAAAAGTATGTAAAGTAACCATTCTCATTTTGAATTAAAGTAACTTCTTTTCTGTTTGTCAAAATATGGTATATTTTTAGCTTTTTAAAAAATTTTTTATATTTTATATTATAAGTTTATGCATTTATGGTTTAATACAGGAGACAACTGTTGGGTTGATGGATATTTGGAAACATGATACTCTTTTGTATGTGCATATTTTATCATTGGCCTAATAGGATTACCATGCACAAATTCTGACCAATGCCAATACACTGAACACACAACATTCAATTCAACATTTTATACTGGTAAATACACTGTGTCAGTAACAATCTATTTATTTTGGAATTTACACATTTGATACTGTAAATTTGTATAAAGTAATATACTTTGTTGGGCAATATGCAAAAGTGAATATATCTATCAAAATACATGCATGCTTTATATATACAATTGGTTTTGAAATTCTTTGATACAATTATCTTTAACAGATTGTTCTGTTTTCTATGTGTTTTCTGTTTTATTTCATTAATAGACTTTTAAAATGTACATTAATTATAAAAGTTTAAAAGTCGACAAAATACTGAGACCTTGATATTTCATAATAAATTTTATTTATAAGCATATATTTCAAAATGTACAGATGTTAACATTGCTTGAATTTTTAATAAAATATTGAAGATATAATATAAAGTAATGATTGATAATTGTTTATTTGTGTCTGGAATAATGTACCATTAACAATCATGATACATGAAAAATAAAACAATGTCACACTTAGACAATATTTAGCCTTTATTTATTATCATCATAAGCATCATCATCTTCCAGTATTATGCATAATCTCTATAGGTGTACTTACACAACACAAGTAAATACAACAAATTTAGTAAATGTAATACTGTAGTAATAATCAGTATTTTGCATATGAGGAGGTGGTTTGGTTTTTCCGATGTGATTTCACTCGAAATGTGAAATTAAGCCAAGCTGTAGAATACCCCTGGTTATTGGCAAAAGGTGCTATTTCTTATAAAGAGTAACTAACAAGGATACTTTTAAATTGAAACTGGTTCTCTTTGTTGTTCAATGTCAGGGCCTATGAAGTACAAAGCACACTTCTGCCATAGGGCCTAGGACCAGGATTAACCAAGTTACAAAATAGCCTTCAGATTATCAATAAATAATAATACATACAAATCCAATGTTATAAACATCAGTTAATAAATTTACAATTATATTATAATGATGAGGATGATGATGATTATTTTTATGATAATTATGAGGATCAGGATGGTGATAAAGAGGGTGATGATAAGAACATCAGTTGGTGGCCGAGACGAACGATTCACACTCTCAACAAGCAACCACATTGTTCTTATTGCTTCTCTTATACCGTAAAAAATTAAATTTAAACACTGGGCTTTTTTTTAGAACCCTTGAAACGAACGAACAAACGAACGAGTAAGTGTAAGTACTATCTAAAAATATTATTTGGAAGCATGGGTTTCTTTTCGAGATTACTTTTGTAAACTAAAGAGGGAGGGCTTCTATTTGAGATGGGCTTTCTTCGGTGGATCCAAAATTTTTCAAACTGGTGTGGTGGGGGTTGGGCACAACAGTTTCAGAATAGATATAACATTAATATGCATTGAAATTTTTAAAATTTAGTGGCAAAATGGTTGTGGGGGGACTGATGTCCCCCTCCCCATGTCCCTACTGAATCAGCCCCTGCCTTACCTGTCATATTGATTCATCAGTAAAAACTATATGCTCTACACAATGCCTGTTTGTTCTGACCTATAATCGTTTTAGTTATGCCTATATTAAACGAAATTAAACAAAATTATATTTCTATATTTTGAAGCACAATAAATAAAGTAAAATAAAAATAAGTATTACAAGTTCTTATAATCTTTCTGCATGATGGTAACTTTTTAATATGAATTATGTTCTTATAATATAGCTTTAATATTTTGATTTATTTTTGATTCATGCAATATGAAGTTTTCTTTTAAATTTGATTATGATAAAGTACGTCAACTGGAAAGTTAAAAGGTTAAAAAAACAAACAAAACAGTTTTAAAGAATGAATGAATAACGGAGAGCATATGCCCGAATAAATAAATGAAATGAATTAAATGAAATGAGTTTGAAACGCATCACGAACTATAATCAGACTCCAGAAATTAAGAGTGACGTCATTTTAAAGAGCACCGCCGTTATCTGTATGATAAGAAGTACTGTACGTAGAGTTCGCACTCTACTCAGTGGTGTGCATGCCGAGAGTGTAGTGAGTTGGCCATCTGGCCGATGATGGTTTGTATTCCTCTTAAATCACGAAGAATATAAACTACAAGATGGCTTTATCAGACGGTAAATTCCCATTATGTTTGTTGAACTTTATTGGTAACATATATATCCAATTTTAATACAATGTGAATGTAAAATGTTCTGGTATTAAATAGAGTTAGGCCCAGGTTATGTATAATGTAGTGGTTGTAGGGAGGAGCCGATGTCTGCATGCCTGGTTGGTTGTTTATTTACTCGGCGGGAGGACTCCATTGGCAAGTGCTCATTCCTCACGTAGGCTGTCTAGGCCTAGATCCTTTGTTGTTGAATAATAATTATTGTCTTGATCTAGCTTGTCCTACCACTAGGGCCTAGTGATGTGGTAAACCAGGCCCAGGCCATATTATTTATGAATAGATAGGCTAAGTGTGGACTAGGAATTTAAACTTCAAAATCGAAATTTTAGAGGAAGCCATCAAGAAGTTGACAAGGGCCTTCTAGGCCCTACAACAGTAGGCCCAAGGCCTAGGCTAGTTCTACTTTTTATTCATATAATTTGCAGAGTCCAAACATCTGGATGTGTTGCCAATGAAAAATCGTGTGTACATGCGGCGCGATGTGTAAGTGTCCGGAAAAAAAATAATCTATAAATGAAACCAAAAATTTTTAAAAAGTTAAAAATTGGAGCTGTAGCTTAGGATGGTGTTGTCAGTTGGAGAAAGTATTACGTCAACCTTTTTTAATATTGCCGAGATAGCGTATGGTAAGAAACATGCGTATGGCTCTAGAAACATGAAATAAACTGCACAAATATGATATGGCATGGACAAAGCGTAAAGATTTGGCTGTATAGTTTGGCGTTGAGAAGAAAAGTTGTAAAAACCATTTAAAGTACACAAAAATAGGAAAATATCAGTGATTTGCTGGCCCTAACTTTGACTTGCCACTATGTATTTACTGAAGTTGTATCTGAGAGCTTCATTGATGCAACTGAGAACCTCTTCTTAATTACAAAAGCTTTAATGACACAATAAAATAATGACACAATGTCTCTATACAGTATAACAAAATACTGGTCTGTCTTTCGCTAATAAGGCCATGTAAATTTTAAAAAATTGGTTAGCATCCTTATGTTATTAATTTTCATGGTAGGGAGGGAGGTTTTTTTTTCCCTTGTGTCGAACATGGAAAAAGAGTGTCGCAAGGAAAAACAGCAAAACAAAGAAGAAGAGAACAACAGAGACCAAAATTGCATTCAAGAATTATGTAATTCATCTATAGCAAGCAAGCCTAACAGTCATAATGCAATTATCTCTATATAATTACGCACAATTCACTCTAACACAATAGGCATCATGGATGCCATGTGGCTAATGTATACTGTAGAACAATAGTAGAGCATAGAACTGCAAGTGGTGTAGTGGTAAACAAACCTATGTTAAAATGGAGTGTTTTGTTAAAAAAAAAAAAAGGAAATTGAGTTGGTGGCTTCTCTGATAGTAGGGAGGGGATGCTAACCAATTATTTTATTTTACATGGCCTAAATAATATATTTTATCATTGTGTTTTGTCTAAACACATAGGCTGGTACTCAAATTACTAATACATGTACCTAATAACATTTAGTATGATTTTCAAAGCTGAACAGTAAAGAGAGCTCTAAATTATTTGGAATTGAATAAATATAATTTTAAGCATCAGTTGTAGTATTTGTTTTAAATTTTTATATTATTGCATCTCCTAATGTAAGATTTAATATCACGTTAAAACAGTTTAAAAATTTGGAAGGCTAATAGTTAAAATTACAATGGTACAGTATTAACATTTGAAAATAAATCAATTATATTGTTATGTGATATTACTGTTTAAAACTTAAATATGCTGTAAAGGAAGTTACAGTACTATAGTGTATAAAGTTGCATCATCTTTGTGATGAATAACACCCATCCCATATAGTAGGAGTTCTATAATGGAAGTTGCTTTGTCATTGAATTGAATTATTCCAATCTCTGATCAATTGAATTGAAAGAGGAAGAAGATCAGTAATCAGTAAAGGTTGGATTAGGATCTAGGTCTAAATAGATCCAATGCATGTAAACAGAAGGCCAAATCACTCATTTAATTCTACTATAAGAAAGAAAAACTGTATGGTAAAGCAATTTAAATCTCCCTAGTAAATGTATCTGCAGTTTGCAAAAAAAAAAATGTAACACTCATTGATTTTGATATGTTTAACATAGGCCTACATTTAATGTTGACTATTAGTATTATGCATCTTATATCTTCAGATTGCAGCAAATACAGACATGAGAAGCTTATTGATATTGGTGGCAAATCTTTCAAATACTTCGACCTCCTCAGCATAAATGACCCCCGATATGGTAAGTGACCTGACCTGGGTTCAAGATTTACCTGAGTAATATTACTGTATTTAATTAATTCTAGAATTAATTCAAGAATATTTTGACCATATTTGTCTGTATGCAAGCATTAATTTATTCTACCATAATACTTAGATTTTAGTTTTGAAACATAAATCATACATTTAATTATCTTAAATATTGAAATACAGTAGCAATTTTCACATTTCAAGTTGCTGTCAAGTGACAGCAATTGTTTTGAATCAATCTTTCAACTAGTAAGTTGGCACACTTCGCCTCTTTGACTTGTGTCATCATCGAGATCAAAGAGTACTTTTGTGTTGCCAGAGAAACTGGATGGAACTTCTTGTTGAGTTTCAGAGAACCATTGGGACTGGACACCAATTGCCATCCAACAGAAACACATCCAAGTGTCACATGACCAGCTTCATCTGGATTGACCTATTGTTACGAAACTTTGAAATTGAAAAAAAAAATTCTATATTTTTTTTTTTTTTTTTTAGATGAACTTCCATTCTCTATCCGTGTGCTCTTGGAATCCGCCATCAGGAATTATGATGATTTCCATATCAAGGTTAAAGATATTGAAAATATTCTGAATTGGAAGGAAAACCAACTGAAAAGTGTGGAAGTTCCATTTAAGCCAGCTCGTGTTATTCTGCAAGACTTCACGTATGTTATACTGTAATATTGTGATGTTGATGGCTAGATAGTGAGAAACAAGTGAAAAAACTTCTAAAAATTCTTTAAAATTTTAGGCTGGCAGTGGTGTAATGTAAAACATTATGTCCACACATTGACGGTAATTATGTGTTGTAGTATCACATTTACAGTGAAATTAAGGGGTGTGTATTAAAGTGTATACACCAAAAAAATGAACACCTCCCTCAAATAGATTCCTTCCTCAAATAAACACCCCTTAAAATATCCTCAACAAAAAATAAGGTATGTTACAGTATATAGTCACATGCATGCCTTCAAATGTATTTTGTGCTTTGTAGACTTAACATTTGCCCTTACCTGTTTGTCAGATAACTTGTTGGTCAAGGTTGCAGATCGTATTATCTAGTGACTTTCAATTTTCAAAGTTAATTGTTGTCATATGAACTTTCACAAATCTTGCCATATGAGAGATAAACTTGATATTGTTTGAAATCAACATGAGCAAGATGGTTCCTGTGCCAGTTAACTGGTTGCTTGTCATGTTCCCATGTAAATGCCAGGATGTATACCATAGTGTTGACCTCAAACTTTCTCAAAAAGGGAGTATTCTTTTCTCTTTAGATTACACATTTCATTGTGCATGGTTGATGTAGCAAATATTAAGAAATGTATCAGTTATTGCGAAATGTAGCCAATATTTTTCATATTTATCGACATCGATTATGCATTGTTACCCAGTACAATTGTATGTAATCCGTCTTCCTTATTTAGAATTTGATCGCAGGGAGTTTTAATGTATTTCACACTCACAGGCAATTGGATAACAATTTATTATGACATGAAAATTTAGTGCAAAATTTACACTTTGCCATCTGTCAAGTGCCATCACAATGTACAAAAGATTGTGATCATCTAAACTTATCCAACTTGGCCAATATTGTAGTTATTGTTTTGTCTGGGGTACAGATCTATTGCTTTGTCATGACCCAGATGACTTAGCCCCTTGTTAAGTACAGTCTGTCTGAATGTGCACCCGACCTGTGCTATTAATGATGAACAATAGAAATAGTAGAAATATATTTAATATTCATTGGTATATGACTGAATTAAAATATATAAAAATTAGAAAATAAAGCTGTGCAATATGTGAAGTAAAATTCATTTTAAGACAATATTTTAAAATTTACTTTATTTTTTATTTATCAATTTAGCGGTGTTCCAGCGGTAGTAGACTTCGCTGCCATGAGAGATGCTGTGAAGAGACTTGGTGGAGATCCCGAGAAGATCAACCCAGTTGTACCAGCGGATCTAGTTATTGACCACTCTGTTCAAGTAGATGTTTCTAGAAGGTAACTTCAAATTGTTGTAAGGAATGCATTTGTAATGTTTAATTGACAGCAAATGTTTTGAATCAATCGTTCAGCTAATAAGTTGCATGGCCATCGAGATCAAAGAGTACTTTTGTGTTGCCAAAGAAACTGGATGGAACTTCTTGTTAAGTTTCAAAGAACCATTGAAACTGGATACCAATTGCCATCCTACAGAACTTTATGAGGTTACATGACTAGCTTCAGCTGGATTGACCATCTTCACATGACCATCCTTACATCCTAACTTGAACTGTGAATTATTTAATAAGATATGATATAGTTTATATTTTATATATTTTAATTATTATACTAATAGATAATATTTATTAAATTTCTAAGTATATTTAGAAAATCGTTTTTGTTAACTCCGAAGAAAAATATATGTTTTAAAAAATCTCTTGCATATTTTGGTTTCATTTGTAATTAAGGTTACATAATTGCTTAATATATGATTAATGTACACTTCATATGAATTTTATAATTAGAAAAATAAAGAAGATAAAAAATAATTGTAGTGGGTCACATACTATCATTATTGGTATTATAACAGCTCTTCTACTTTTAGTTCTGACGCCCTGAGGAAGAATCAAGAAATAGAATTTGAGCGTAACAAAGAGCGATTTCTCTTCCTTAAGGTCAGATATATTTTTTTATCCATAAACAATTTTAATGTGTCGTCATATGAATTGTATATTTATTAAAAAGTTTGAAGTACTTATTGAATGTACAAAAACTTATACTTGATTCAAACAAGAAAAATGTTAGCCAGAGTACATTTTAGTGAAAATTTAGCAGGCATCCCCTCGTATCTGTGTAAAAGTGAATGCGAGTCAGATCAGCATGTGTCCCATGCAACATATGGGCGAGTTGATTGGCCAAGCGGTTAAGTCAGGGGCACCGTGACATTCATCTCTAATATCGGCGCTGGTTGGAACGGCTCACTCACCAATGGTTTCGGTGGTGGAACAAGTCTTCTCGGATAAGGACTTTAAACCGTAGGCCCAGTGTACCCAGTACATCCTTCGAGAATAGTGGGGGTTACCCCTGTGTACTGGTCCATTAAGTCCTCTCTTTTTAAACGGATATGCCACATACAACAGGGATTAAGTTCACTTATTGGCATATCCTTGGCGCTCGTGCCTAAAGAAATGGGGAAAAAAATAATAAGAAAAACAGATTCCATATGAAATATAATTTAAGTGTGTGACAGATTTTTTTCACCCATTATATGCAATGATTTGAATGGTGTGCCATCTTCAATTAATGAGTAAAAAAAAACACAATTTTTTAAAAATACGCTGGAGAAACGTACATCGTCTACCTGTTTGATGTGTGGCCCATAAAGCAGACAGTCTTTTAAAATGCAAGTCTCAACTTTATAAATAAAGTCTCAATATCAAGGTATATAGATGAACCAATTAAACATTTTGTCTATATACACATAATTTCATTGTATTAACATGTGTTATTTGGCTGACAGTGGGGAGCGAAAGCTTTCAAGAACATGTTGATAGTACCGCCAGGCTCCGGCATCGTCCACCAGGTAAACCTTGAGTACCTTGCCAGAGTGGTGTTTGAGAGTGAAGATGTCCTTTACCCTGACAGCCTGGTTGGAACTGATTCTCATACCACCATGATCAACGGTCTAGGAATTGTTGGGTGGGGTAAGCGGTCATATTTTTGTTTATGATATGTCATTAACAATGTTCTTTGTGTCATTTGTGGTTTCATTCTTGAAATAGTTTTGATGTCCATGTTCGTCTAAATGTATAGGAGATGAAATAGAGACTAACACTCTTTAGTTTTTGAGAAGTTCTTGTCAACTAAGAACTTAGGAAAAAATTTTGGAAAGCTTCTGAGGAAGGTGGCTCCTAAAGAAGTTCACTGCATGAGTTAAAGCTTATCTGTATTTTTTAAGTCTGTAAACTATTATTTATTTTACCCTGACAGGATAGTGAATTAGATTGTGCATATTATGTACATATTCAAGTAATATTAGTTTATAATGCAATTAGTATTGTCCACAAAAGCCTTTAATGCACCAAATAATAGTGAAAACAGAAACAGGAATATAAAAAAGGTCAATTTAAGTCATTTAAATCTAAATAATAGTCATTTAAACTGCGCAAATAGATTGAGTCAATTTTGTTGATGTTGATTATTTTAAATCCACAATATTTTATATAGGTCATTTTATAAATAGCAGATTAGGTGGATAAAATACATAGTACATGAAATATATTAGGATCCAATGACAAAAGAACAAACCAGTACAATGTACAATGCTTAGATGTTATATCAACCTGATATCAAAGAGAAGTAAAGTACCTCTGATTGAATAAACAAATACACATATATGACATAAAAAAAGCATTACCGTTAAACTTGCCTAAGTCGACCTTGCCTTATTCAAATAATTTCTAAGTCGAACTATTTTTCAATGGCATTTTGGATTCGACTTAGGCAAGTAAAACTTTATTATTTTTGATCGGAGGAACAAACAGGACACATAGGGTAGTGTTATTAGGTTCTGCTGACAAAGAACTAAAATACCTCTGATTAAATCAACAAACACACATGCAGGACATTTGTATCCATTGTTAGATTCCAGTGACGAGAGCTAAAAGGATATTTCATTGATGAACATAGAGTACCACAGTCGTGTCGTCACGACGCCAGGTGGGGTAGACGTAGGTTACCGTTCATTACGCCTGAATGACTTCATAGGCTTTCGGGAAGGCATTTTAAGATCTAATATTTCACAATCAAATTGTACTAAAAACACAAAAGCTCGCATTATATTAGTTATCGAACACAAATTTAATCATCAATTAAAATTTACAAAGAAAAAGTAAGATACAACATCTTAATAAGTACGTTTGAAATTGGGATCATTGGTTTGTCAGTGAAGAAAATGGCGTCTGGTTGAACGCTTTTTGCAACGATAGCAACAGAGTAGTATCACATGGTATCGAGACGTAACACTGTAGAACTCTATACATAAATTAGACACATAGAATAGTGTTAATAGGTTCTGGTGACAAAGGACTATAGTATGGTTGAAACAACATGCATACATGCAGGACATTTGTAACCATTAGTAGGTTCCAATGACAAGAGAACTAAAATGACATTTCATTGATAAACATAATACATAGAACACATAGGATTGAAGGACCTGTCAATTGATAAACAAACACATAAGAATGCAGTTTATTTGTTAATAGATTTGAGTCACAAAAGAAGTAAAGTACCTTTGATAAGGAAAATAGGTTGAGTTGATACTATTTAAATATAAGATAGATAGTACAGGAGTATATTTGTAGAATATCTTTCTGAATCATATTTTTCACAATGGTAATCACAGAGCTAAGTCCATGATTATCAAGTATTCTTGTTGATGGGTTTTTTTTTTTACCTAATTATAGTTTTTCATAGATACGAAGTTCAAAAATACTTTTATTCCATCCTGCCACTTGGTTTCTGCACTGTTTTTTTTTTTTTTTTTTTTTTGGTAGTGATATCATGTTATGTGTATTTTCCTGATAAATTAATAATAGTATTTAATTACTTTGTGGTATTATTAACTCTGAATATTATGTATATATAGGAGTTGGTGGCATTGAAGCTGAGGCAGTGATGTTGGGTCAAGCCATTAGCATGGTCCTACCAAAGGTCATAGGTTACAAACTTACTGGAAAGATGAATGCCTTAGCAACTTCCACAGATGTAGTTCTTACAATAACAAAGGTATGTTATACCTGAGACTTATGTCGACTGTATGGTATACCTTACACTGTGCTGTGACATGTTGTCACCGTTTTCACGAAGAGACACAAACTTTGATTTCGACCAAAACAACGTTTTGAGAATAACGCCTTTGAAGTGGACTAGTTCATAAAACCGTTAAGTTGCTATCAAGATATCAAAATTTTAAATATTTTGTTACATATATTTAAAGCATTAAACAATTCAATTTATTTTTTATTTCTTAACTTTATTTAACCTGTTAATAAGCATGAACAGTTTGTGTCTATTCGTAAAAATTATCAGAATGGACACAACATATGTTGTTTACACATGGTAGTGAAGTTTGTGTCTGTTCATAATAACAAAAATCCATTTTCCTCTGTTTTTGCGCTATGGCTAATTAGTCTAACTAAATAATATAGTTTCACTCTTAAAAATTTGCTGAAAGGGAAGAAAAAAAATTTACCATTATGGTAACGTGTTCTTTTGGTGTTTTTCCAATGCTATTTAAATGCTGCTTTTGCAGTACTTTTAAGTCTTTCATGTTTTTTTTGTCAGTAGAAAAAGAATTTCCAATTGCAATTAATGGAAAAATAAAGTTTTGATTTGATTAGATTTGTTATTGTACCTGAATCTTGTTGAGTGTTGTGCCATTACTGTGACATGTATATGGTACCTCATACCTGTTACAAGTTTTCTTCTTCATGAGAGTGTGTAGGATTTCATTACATTAATTATGGTATGTTGTACCACACCATATGTATGTTTTGTACTGTATGTCAGAAATAATTATGGAACACCATACCAGGGAGATTTGTATCAAATGTCATAACTGTGACAAAGTCCCCAGTCGAGTATTTCATAATTTTGATGACTGACATAGTTCATATGCTCTTTCTTCTGCAGCATTTAAGGCAAATAGGAGTAGTTGGTAAATTTGTAGAGTTTTTTGGGCCAGGCGTTTCGCAACTTTCCATTGCTGACCGAGCAACAATCGCCAACATGTGTCCCGAGTACGGTGCAACTATCGGGTACTTTGCCATTGACACTGTTAGTCTTCAGTATATGAAACAGACCGGTAAGTCTCTTCACTTCATGTTCCTCAGAATTTGTTTAGTTATAAATAAGTTTCAATTTAATTTCACCATAGATAAATTAACTGAATGATAAAACACAATAGAACAAGGTTGTTAAACTTTTTGAAGATTTTTTTTATAGATACAATGTATGCTTATGTAATTTTCAGGTCGCCAAGACACGAAGATTGAGATGGTAGAGAAGTACCTAAGGGCAAACGGATTATTTAGAAACTTTGACGATACCAAGCAGGACCCAGTGTACTCTGAGGTACAGTACCTGTATATCAAATTCTTATCAACTTTCATTGGGATAATTGAAGGTGCCTGGCACCTTCAGATAATGATGTCATTAGAATGATGATAATGACATCATCAGAGATATGTAGATGTTGTAAAATACACGAACATACGGTTTACCATCTTGTAAATATGTGATAATATATCTTTGTCATGTATTCCGTATAGGTTATTGAATTAGATCTGTCGACCGTTATGTCCTGTCTAAGTGGGCCGAAGCGACCTCATGATAAGGTTGATGTAGTCACAATGAAGGAGGACTTCCAGAAATGTCTGAATAACCCAGTTGGCTTCAAAGGGTTCAACATTGCGCCAGATAAACAGAGCAAATCAGTTCCATTTGTTTATGAAAATGAGGAATTTGTGCTAAATCACGGATCTGTTGTAATAGCAGCCATTACCAGTTGCACCAATACAAGTAACCCATCAGTCATGTTAGGAGCAGGTAAAGTCAGATTCAAATATGCTTCACAAAACTAAAGCCCTATCGAGATTATCTAACTGTCTTTGACAAAAATTTCTAAATTGCCCATATATAGTCATGATGTGCCTATATATGGTCATGATGTGATGTCATCATGACCATATTAAGGCATGTCACATGTTTTTGTCAAATAAAATTTGAGAGTCTGGACAGGGTTAAGCATACATAATGTAGTGATTCACCAACAGATTTTCTGTACATTTCCATTTCAAAAGTTTATTATACAAAACATACACAAAAACAAAATACATCAGATTCAAAACAAAACACATCAAAAACAAAACACAACAAAAACAAAAACAAAACGTTTCATCAAAAAAAAAAAATCAAAACATGTTTTTGTTCAAAAACAAAACACATCAGATTCATTGCACATCATTGACCAAAATAATGTTTGCTAGACAAACTAAGCCCTGTTTGTGATCCCTGGCTAAAAATATCAGATTATCTAAAATCGACATTTGAGACTAAGGCAATGATCCAGTCAAAGGAAGCTCTCATCAGTCTTCTTCAACAACTGTATGTGGATAATTAAGAATCTAAGATATCAAAGTGTCAGATGAGGAACAGCTCTGCATAGTATACAAAGTATATAAATGTCATTATTTTTTTTTTCTATTTTTAGGTTTGCTTGCAAAGAAAGCAGTGGAGAAAGGTTTGATTGTAAAACCTTACGTGAAGACAAGTTTAAGTCCTGGTTCTGGTGTTGTAACTTACTATTTGAAAGAGAGTGGTGTCATTCCATATCTGGAATCTCTTGGGTATGTATGTAAGACTTCAGATGGTTTCTGCTCAAACACATTACATTACAATCGTGTTTTACCCTCGTTTACTCTTTTATTCCAGAGTAATATTATATGTAAAACATAATAATATTGTATAGCATTGAACATACAAAATCAGTTACACCGATCACCATTGTTAGAGCTGATTGATAGCCATTTCAAATCTGCAAGATTATAAAACTTGATGCCTAATTCATATAAATAATTTGACTTTGTAATACCATGGAAGAAGAAATGACCTTTTTGTATGCTGTCCTCACTACCTCTGTATTGTATCATCATATTATTGCATCATGCATTGAGTAATGTAATAATGTTTCTTGCTCTATTTTGATCCATTAATTTTTTCCCTTCCAGTTTTAATGTAGTTGGTTATGGATGTATGACATGTATTGGTAACTCTGGTCCTCTTCCTGAATCTGTGGGTCAGGCAATTGAAAAAGTAAGTACAGTAATTTCTTATTGCAATTGATAGTTTATTTTCCTTTTAATTACTTATTCCAGCTTGGAGTGATGTTTTGCCTTAAGGGACATGTTTTCATACCAAATACTCAGCATGTTCCCAAATACATGTGATAAAAATTTGCCAGTGATTCGGTTGGGAATCGAACCCACGACCTCCAGTTAACTAGCCTGGTGCCATATCCACTAGACTACCGAGCTTGCGCTTAGTGACTAGTGTTGAATCCGATCCCCAACTGATTATGCATAAGTATCAAAGACTTTGGTATTTACTTTGGAATGGAGCCTTATAAGTGGAGTTGAATAGCTTGGTGGTTAAGATGCTTGCCTTCCAATCCCAGGGTCCTGGGTTCAATTCCTGCCAGTTGCAGGATTTTTTCTCACGACATAAACAACTCCACTCCCTAAATCTCATATTGAGATTTAGTTTGTGTAAAGCATCGTGTGTGTATGTTTGTCTCGTGTAAGGGATTGTCACCTACAAGTAGGACAGTGATATATATTCGCTATTGGCAATCCTTGGCACATGTGTTGTGTGCCTAAATAATAATAATAATTCTGTGATAATAGCTGTTAGCCTATTATCTTTGGCCATTTTTCTAAAGTCAAATAATTTTTTTTTTATCAAAAATTCTAGCAGTTGAATAATCGATTGTTTGATTGATTCATTTGGAATTGAATGGTCTGTATAAATATTGAGTATTATTAACACAAGATTACTTCTTTATATTTCAGGGTGATTTGGTTGCCTGTGGTGTATTATCAGGCAACAGGAACTTTGAGGGACGTATTCATCCATTGACCCGTGCAAATTACTTGGCATCACCACTGCTAGTCATAGCCTACGCCATTGCAGGCAGAGTTTCTATCGATTTTGAAACAGAACCAATTGGTAAGTTTTCTTTTGTTTCTGTCTTATTTTATAAAAATGTAGTTTTTTTTTTCCTGCTAAGTAACTAAGGTGTTATGTAATCAGTATTTTCTATTTTTTTTTTTTTTACTTTTAAGTTAAGGTATGGTTAATTTTTATTAGTTTTTTTTTATATAAATAAATAATAAGTCAAATAATATTTGATATCTGAACTACTAATATACTTTTAGGTAGTTCAATGTGTATATTTATGCTACTTTTACTAGCAATTAGAAAAAAAAAAACATTTTTGCTGTTAACCTTCTGACTGCCAGGGGTTTGAAATAGCTTCAGCCACCGCCATACTTTTTAGCAAATTTGAACATTTTTCCAAAGCTTGTTGATAGTGCGTATGTGATCAGATTGACATATAGTGAATACTACAAGAACTACAAACATTTTAGTGGGCCAAGATGCAAAAGTTGAAAATCAAGCATTTTATATTTTAGCAATATGTGCATTATTTATTTCAGGTGTGGATGCGGATGGGAAGAATGTGTTTTTGAGGGATATTTGGCCCTCCCGTGAAGAAGTGCAAGAAGTAGAACGTCAGTATGTAATACCTGCAATGTTTAAAGAAGTCTACGCAAACATCACAGTGAGTTTACATATCAACAAAAAATTTTGTAGTAATGGGGAATAAAAATTGTCATTCAACAGTAAGATTTGATGTTGCAAAATGTAGGGTACATTTTATGGTGCTACAACAAAAACTTGTATCTGTTTATGTGTTTACACACAAAACTACATTTGTCTTAATCTTCAGAAATGCAGGAAAACATTGTTCGATAATTGAATAAAAGAAATGCTAAGAGGTCTTACTTCAAGTTGGTAGCACTGTGACACCTAAATAGATAACATCACTAAATAAGTACCTGTAATTAATGTTAGGAAATTTAAAAATTCCAAGACTTTATTATTACTCTCTATTTGCAAATAGCCAGCGCCTGAGGCTAGGCCGCTGGAAGTCCCCCAGTGAGTTGTGAGACGTTGGCGGCGCTGTTTCAAAATAATCCCGATAAAATGGTCTTATAGGTATTGTTATTCAGCATGATCTTTCTCATAACTCAAAGTTGTGTGAATTTACTTTTACAGAATGGTAACGAGAGTTGGCGTTCTTTAGATGCTCCTGATGCAAAACTTTACCCATGGGATAGCTCGTCAACGTACATTCAGTCTCCGCCATTCTTTGAAAAAATGGTTTGTAAACATTCTTTTCTTTTTTGTTGCAATAACTATTGTTCATAACATACCCACTTGTAAAAATATACGTAGTTCTTATTATTATATATTGCTCCATAATGTTGATTTTAATTTTAGTTGCAAGTTGATTGCTCCTAATGTAGACCAATTGTCTGCACTCTTTTCAGACAAAGGATTTACCTTCTGTTGGTGGTGTTGAAAATGCATGGGCTCTCCTCAATTTGGGAGATTCTGTAACAACAGATCACATTTCCCCGGCAGGCAGTATAGCTCGCAACAGCCCTGCTGCTCGCTACTTGGCTAGTCGTGGTTTGACACCACGTCAATTCAACTCGTATGGGAGCCGGAGGGGTAATGATGCCATAATGGCTCGCGGCACTTTTGCAAACATTCGTCTAGTTAATAAATTCATTGGCAAAGCAGCACCAAAAACCGTACACATTCCATCGGGCGATGTAATGGATGTATTTGATGCAGCTCATCGGTACCAAAGTGAAGGAGCGTCGCTGATCATCCTCTCAGGAAAAGATTACGGGTCAGGTTCATCAAGAGATTGGGCAGCAAAAGGACCATGGATGCAGGTTAGTACCTACTTACCTACTTCATCCATCAAAACTCTAACATCCATAATTTATTATTGAGAGGTTTCAGGTTATTTTTTTTCTCCCCTGTCAACAAAGCTGCTAAACACCTCCCTGTGGCTGCTATGTAGCAACTGCAATTCATTGCAAGATGCTGGTAGTAGTGGTTATTCTACAATTGCAAGTCTCCCTCTAATAAAAGGCTCCTCTAATTAAAGACCACCTCTAATTAACTACTACTATTCTGAGGTCCCATGTTAGTAAATGTTAAATCAACTGCAAAGCTGCTGAAGACCGTAAAAACACTAGTCCCAAAAGTAGTCTTTAATTGAAGGTAGATCTGTACCTTTAAGTACATTGATCATTAATGGTTGTCAGCCAATTTCCATATTTGCCATCAAAAGCTTATCTTCATCAGTAGTTATTGATCATTATTAGTAAATATCTTATGACAGGAACTCATCAATATCTTGTATCCCAATAGGGTGTTAAAGCTGTGATTGCAGAGAGCTATGAGAGGATCCACCGTAGTAACTTGGTTGGCATGGGAATCATTCCACTGCAGTACTTGACTGGTCAAACAGCTGAATCTCTAGGACTTACTGGTAAAGAAAAGTACACTCTCAGCATACCAGACAACGTACAAGCAGGACAGAAAATAAATGTACAGGTAAGGACCAATCAATTATTCTGAGGTGAGACTTGTTATACCTTATTTTGCAAACTTTTTTGTCAGAGGAGGGTGGAAACAAATTTAAAATGTTCCTCGTTTAGCAAAATGATTTTGCCAAAACCATCGGAGGAGAAAATAAAAATAAAACTAATTGGCCAAAAATAAAATTTTATTTTTTTTCAAAATCACCATTTTGGGCGGTCGTAGAGTTTGCTGAACAAGGTATAAAAAAAGTCGACCATCGGGCAATGCAGTGTGTGTCGTGATTTACTGTTAAGATATAGAATCATGAGCATACCACACCATGTAGCGATGCTATAGTTCTGCTCACCATAGTAGACACTATAACAATATTAGAGCTTAAAATGCATAGCGCATTTGGTTGAAACTGATGGTAATCACTATGTATTCACTGAACCATGGAGCTCCCTGTGTTCTAGGTTTTATTCCGTCAAGGTGTCTCCCTTTGAAGTACAGGTTATGGCACACCATATAATTTTATTACAACTATAACCTGTGTATTAACCATTTCCATTCTCCTTTTTTTGTGGTTTTCTAGGTGGATGACAACAAGACATTTGAAGTAATTGTTCGTTTTGACACAGATGTTGAGTTAACCTACTTTAAACATGGTGGAATTCTGAACTATATGATCCGTCAGATGCTGTCGTAGATGTTGATCTAGAGCATTTAAATTCATTGGACATGGACCTCAAGCTTATATCAGATATGTACATAGAGATATCCAATATACATGCTATGTAGCTTATATCAGATACCATACATAGAATTGTCCAATACACATGCTCATGAAGCTTATATCAGATACCATATGTAGAGATTTCCAATACACATGCTTATGAAGCTTATATCAGATACCAGATGTAGAGATTTCCAATACTCATGCTCCTGAAGCTTATATCAGATACCATGCATAGAGATATCCAACATACATGCTATGTAGCTTATAACAGATACCATACATAGAGATATCCAATACACATGCTAAGGAGCTTATATCAGATACCTTGCAGAGAGATATCCAATACACATGCTCCTGAAGCTTTTATCAGATACCATACATGGAGATATTCAATATTCATGCTATTTAAGCTTATATCAGATACCATACATGGAGATATCCAATATACATGCTATTAAGCTTATATCAGATACCATACATGGAGATATCCAATACATCTGCTATGAAATTTATATCAGATAAGATACATAGATATCCAATGGTGTATTATCTTTACTCTTAAATAATGATTTCAAATTATATTTTAACCATCTAACTCAGGAATTAAATGACAACCTTTTGATTTTAACTTTATTTGTCTAAATTCCAACATGTAGAATATTAACATGTTGTCCATGGAATTAACCGCTCGATGCGATGCCGAATGTATATGTACGTATCTTACCTCATTAACCAACATAGCATCTTTGTTAGCATACCAAATTTATATAGTATGCTACTATTTTGAAATACAGTATGTAACATTTCAATTAATGAGAGACAAATTATGTAAACCCAAAATTGAAAAGTGTAACTTTTCAAAGTGTATTTAATTTTCCACGAAGTGTTTTTTTTGCTGTTGCTAGGAACATTGATGTTGATAATGTTGTTGGTGTTGCTAGGTACTTTGGTGTTGCTAGGCAGCACATGATGTTGATTGAAGCATTAGATGTAGACCAAATTCCATTCCATTTCGATGTATTATAGTGACAAAAAATCAGTAAACAATCATTCATATATTTTGCTTGATTAAGGTGCTAAGATGGTGGAACCTGATAAGAATTTCAGCAATTTATTTTTGGCATATTTAAGTTGTACTATTTAAAAAGAAAAAAAACAGTTTAATATTGTGTGGAAAAAGGCTGAAAAGTATTACTGTACATTCATTCATTCATTTATTAAATGTTTTTATAAATGATCATGCTACTGTATGAAAACCATATTCTATAATTTTGGTACCTTATACTTGCATTGTCGCGCTTTTAAGTAAATGGCGTTATTAAAAAAAATACTGGGTATACGAAAGGGATGATACCAATATGGAAAACTTATTGCAATTCATAAAAAGCAAGTAAAAAAAATGGAAACAAACATTGTAGTATAATAAACATACAATAAAAATGATCTTTTAAAACCTCTTGTTTTCTCAATATTTAAAAAAGCTTATGTTCAATGAAGGCCACAGCAGGCTATACTGTTAAAAGAATTATGGGTAAAATTTTGGTATTGGGTCTAGATTATAGTTTAGTGATAATTAAAATAAAATTATATAATATACTAACAAAAATACTTATAGTGCTATCAGTTTATTATTGAAGATACAGTAGAATAATGACACACAATCTTCCAAATATGTCATCAGAATGAGAAAGCTGTATTATCCTATGTTATTTGTTTTATAGTATTCTCTGTGAAGATTTAGTTAAATGTTATATCGGTGTTGAGAAATGTATAAATGAATGGTTGATTAAAGTGGCTACCAGGAAGTTATATCAGTCGGTATATATTTCATTGTTTTTGTGTTTTCTTTTAAAGGTCTGGAAACAATTGCATTATTCTACTGGTATATTTCATTACCAATGATTTTTTTGTTGGTTATTGTTTTCATTCAGCTAGCTAATTACCAAAAAAAGTTACCAAAACCAAGGTGTGTGTGTGTTAAAAATCAGATTTAATTTGCCCTCGTGGCCAAAATAAACTAGGCTGATTGGTCAGTTTCCAAAAACATTTTCATTAATACAATTTAAATTAAATTTCAGGAAAAAAAAAATTATTGTTTGTCCACAATTAACAGAGATCAATAACTAAATGAAAATATTTCAAACTGGCTCAAGCTAGCCTCTATTGCGGCACTTGCGTTGCATTTTGTTTGATGGGTACGTTTTTCAAGTTGTTCATAGTCTTCATTAAATACAGTATGTCTTTTAACAATGCATGTAGCCGCGATATTGAGCTAATTTCTCAATCTTATTCGATTGGCTGAAATAAATTCCAGCCCGCTTATATACACCTCAACCGCCTCCCCCACCCCCGGTTTTTCAGTCATCAGTTCAGTAATCATTTATGAATACAGGTCTCTAATTAAAAGACCACTTTTCTGTGGTCCCAAATTAGCAAATGTCTTTTATCTTTATTATTCTAATTAAAGACCACAGAAACTCTGGTCCTAAAAGTGGTCTTTAATTGGAGGGAGGCCTGTATACTGCACTGACAGTGAAGTTAATATTTACTATTATAATTTGTATTTAAAAGTAAATTTTCTTTTTTTAATTATGAAACTGTTGGTTAGAGAAATTTAAATGTGCGGCATATTTATCTTATCAAATATCCAAGTCACTGCCCCTATATATTTAGTCTTGGATGCTATTAGAATGAGTAAAATGAGTAATTGCATATCGTTGGCTCTTTAGCAGAGGAAGCACATCAGGAAATGTATATCAATGGAATTATGCAAGTAAGACATTCACACCCTACCTTCTGTCAAACAACTGAATACTTCAATATGCTTTTGTTTGACTTGACTGAGGTATGACGTTCAAAATATCTACTGCATGGACTGTGTGTAAACATTGTGTAATACTTGCGTGAAATGTTGAAATTCACCAAATGTAAATTTTTTTTTTAGGAAGGACTAGACTTATCGGGAGAATTTTCTCTATGAATGTTTTGATATATGGATTCTGGCAATGTCGTATCTAGGTGTCTTGAATTGGAGGGGGGGGGGGTGGTGGCTGATAGGGGTGCAAAGGTAAAGTGGGGCTCGATGATTAGGTGAGGGGCTACCTTGATTTGATTTTTAATTACTTGAGCATGATTTTGTGGGTGTTTTTTTTTTTTTTTTAGGGTGGTGGGGGCATTCTGTGCATCCCCTAGGTACACCACTAGATTATTGTGCTGTATAAATGATTTGGATTGGTTAATTATACTTGATATTATTGATTACTAATTATGATTGATAATGGTGATTGATATATAATTATTTGATTGATTGACAATATTTAATAGATTAATATAACTGTAGAATTGATAGATTAATAATATAATTGATTAATATTATAAATGATTGATAATACAACTATTTGAGTGTCATAGTATATGTTAATATATTTGAGTAGTAGAATTCATTAATTGATAATACAATTATTTTATAGATTGAAAATATAATGGATTAATTGATAATATAATTGATTAATGGAATTTATAGATACTATTATTTGATTGTGTAATTGATAATGCAAGTGATTTATAGATTTGATGGATTGATAATATATTGGATTAATTGACAATATAATTTATTTATATCACTAATTAATAATACAATTGACTGATTGATAATAAAATTGATTGATTAATGTAAAGGAACTGATTTTCATGGCAAAGTCAAAAATAAATCTTCAAATTCCATAAAAACATGATGATAATCTTGGAATTATTTCATGTGTGAGGCATATTACTAAATTCTAGAATTCACCAGATTCCTTTACGACAGGTGGTTAGTGCTTAAGGTGTGCCAGTGTTTCTAATCTTTGGCAGATTTTTTTATAAATTCCTCTCAGTTTTTGGGTATAGAGTGTTGGTTAGTACTTCAATCCAGTGACAATCCCTAGCATTACACCAAATCCTTTATTGAAGAGATCATTGAGGATTGAAGGGTTGCATTAGGTATTAAACCACTTATTTTTCAGTGAGCAATTAACTTTGATGCTTTTGGAATTACATGGTTCCGGACTGAAATCAGCAGGCATAATACTTAAACTTTCAGATCAGTATCTTGATGAACAAAACAAACATCTGGGTGATTTTTTTTAACGACGCACTTAATTTTCCAAATAATTTTCTACAATACAGATAAAATGCCGCCGGCTCTCTTTGATTGGAATAATGAAAAGGTCTTTTTGGAAGAGAAGGTGATGAATTCTGGGTTATGTTTTAACCTTTCTATTTTAACTTGCATTTACAACTCGTTTTTCATACAACAGGCAAACCTTATTGAGTGAACTTTGTATTGAGGTAAGTTACTTGTGTCACATCATAATACTGTACTGTATACCCAGAATATAGGTCATAAGTTAACCTTCAACTTGCAAAAAAATTCAAGTACAACATAAATTTTCTACTATCTTTTATTATTGCTCTCTCTGCATTGAGCAAGATACAGAAACATCAAAGAAAAAGTATATACAACCAATAGAAATAAACAACCTAACATATACAATCTTCAAATCAAAGAAATATAATTACAACTGTAATTTGAATGGGAATTATATACATAAAAGAAATGATGTAAAACCAAAAAACATAATATGAACTCAATGAAATGATGAACTGACATTTACATTAGAAGTGAAATTATATTTCCACTCATTTTTTAATTGACATTTTAAAATCGCTTTAAAAAATAGTATTATTAAAAGGAATCAAGTTAATATAAACATCAATAAGTACTTAGTTGCTATTTAAAGTAAAGTTACTTAAAATATCAAATACTCATGACTAATTAAGTATGAATTTGAGTCTTTTTAAGAATAATATCAAAGAACATAAAAATATGATGCAGATGATTTTTTTCTATAAAAATTGCAAGTAAAATGTAATCTTATAACCTTAAATGTTTTGAATGATGATCATTTTAATCTTGATATCACCAGTTCAATGAAATTGTGGGTTGGCTGAGATTTCAGATGTTAGAAAGATGCCCCCACCCCCCAATTTCATTTTACCTGGATGTACCTCATTTCTGTAAGTATTAGAAACTGACTATCAGAATTGCGGTTTATTCCACCACGGGCAGTCCGCTTAATAGCGTGTCCTGCTGAGTTAATCCCCAATGATAATCCTTTGAACAAACGATTGGCTGATCGTGTTAGTCACATGCAAACCGACTTTTTTCCCCAAAAGTCGGGTTGCCTTTCTGGGGATATGTACACATAATGAATTACTTTAAATATTCACATTATGAATCTTCAAATAACCCAGGATTAATTTAAATAATAGGCCTACTATCTGTTATTCTTTAAAACCATCTATACAGTGTTTTTCTACATAATTCAATCTTTACAGAAAGCTCTGGGAGTAAAATTGGAAAATATCAAACAATCTTAAATTAAAATGAATATACAACAAATCAATTAATATCATGATTTATAATTAATGGGTATAAATATCTACTACACGCATAAATTAATCCATTCTCTTCCCAAAAGATGGCGAACATAATGCATTGGTATAGTACTATGTACAAGTGCAACGTGTGTGGCAGAGAAAATGTTAAAATAATAATCGGCGCCAACAAGAATAATTAGCCAGAATACACAACTACTTTACATCCATAAAAGTGTAATGAGCTATACAAAACCAGTCAGCGTAAAATTACAGTACATGAATCCCATCCTCAACCATGCGATAATCGCTTGAAATTACTCTAGTACATCTACTCGTGATTTTCTCAAGTACGTACTAGAAATATAAATAACATCTACACTCTAATAAATATGATATATATTACAGTATTATTAAATATAAGATTACAAACAAATTCTTATCTGGTATATGTATGTGGATATAGTGATGGTCTGGACCAAATGGTTATGTAGTATTATTAATGTTTACTTTAATACAAGTTTATCTAAGTTACCTATGCCATAGCAGGTCTAATATAATTAGGCCTATTTTTTATACTACTAATCACAACAAAATCATGTCTTTACTATAAAATGTCTTATGATAAAAAATGGAAGACTTTCATATATTTCTGTTAAAAGAAATAATAATTGAGTAAATCTCAGACGATCATGGGAACCAGAGAGATGTTCCCTGTGGAAAACTGATCCGTTAGAGGTCAAATGTAATTTTGTAAATGCAACGTCACCCCCCCCCCCCATATGCTATTATACATATTTTAGAAGATTACTAGGTCAAAACAATGAATGTCCTTTTAATACTATAATATATTTATAATTTTTTTAAACAATCAATTATTAAATGCATCATTCTAACCAGTTCTCTTAATAAATACGGTCTCCCTCCAATTAAAGACCACTTTTGGGACCAGGGTTTCTATGGTCTTTAGCAGCTTTGGTCTCTAATTAGAATAAAAGACATTTGTTAATTTGGGTCCACAAAAAAATGGTCTTTAATTGGAAGTGGTCTTTAATTGAAGGGTTCTTAAATTAGAGGGAGCCCTGTTTAATTCTCTTAACTAAAAGCATGCTAAAAGTAAGTTTTAGAGCTTTGTATTAAGTGTTAATTCTAGGGTAATATGTTTCCATATATGGCACTGACAAGCAAAACCAGTCAGTCGTCGCAAAAATCAATTTTAGTTATTGATACAGGATTACAGATGAAAATGAGAGCTTTAAAATTGTAAAGGAATCATTTAAATCCAACAGTTCCTTATGAAGTTACAAGCAAGTTCATGATTTTGGGCATTTCCCAGGAAGAAACCATCATGAAATTGTTAAAAATTGTTCTAAAATTAAACATGGGGAAAATAACAGCATATCATGATGCTTAGATATATAAAGGTTAGTTTAGTGCAATAAAATAGATTTACAAAATGTTGACATTTCAACATGTTTTGGCCATTATCTCTGAAACACGATTTGCGTCTGTGCCACATAATATCATCCTTTAGAACCTGTGGCTCTGATTATATCAAAATCTTCACTGAGAAATATAGAAACTAAGTAACTTAAGATATAAAATGTATTGTACAATAGGCCTATAATGTGTAAAGTGTGATTTTGGTAACAAATTAAAAACATCCTTTAGTTCACAACCTCTTTAAAAATGACCTTGAGTGAAATTGGTTTTTCATATCACCATGGTAACCACAATGAAAGAATGATGTGCCTAGGTTTTTGTCACAGTATCTGACACAATGCTGCAAATTATGGGATTAATTTCATGATCATATTTCAAAAATTAATATCTAAAAATTTCAGCTTTCTCATGGGAACCAACATGGGCTATGTTAGCTAGGAGCACACAAAAAGTTATAACTTTAATTGACTTCAAATATAGTTTCACATTAATTCAATGGAAAGAACAATTGATGTGAGTAATCTGCTGTTTAGATGACAAAAAGTGGTTGAATATTTACAGATTTATGCTAAATTTAATAAAACAATAATTTGTCCAGATTTATGCACATTGGCCTATCTTGAATTTGTGACCATATGCATTCACCGCGCGTACAACCTAGCTAAGCCTACACGCGATATCTCCTCTCTCTGCACGCCTTGAAGGTGAGAATTCCATCTTCCGAATCAGAAACTATTGGAGAACATCGTCCGAGTGTTTGTTTTTTTGTAATACCCAATCAGAGTCGAGGAAAAGGCTCCCTGTGACCCCAATTTTTTTTTCTGAAATGGTCACACTTTCCTATACGGGATTTTGACAAGCGCCCTCACAATGATGTGCTCCTAGCTAACTATGCGACCATGAAAAGTAACAGTAAGTTTTTACATTTAAAAATGTATTGTCCCATGAAAAATATCCCCCCAAAAAATCATAAAAATCATTTTTTTGAAATTAACTTCCCATTTTAAATTAACATAAAGGTATCAACTTGAACATAGAAATTAGAGTATTAAAAAACGTTTACCCATAATTTTACATCGAAAAATAGAAACACTACCAGTCACTGGTTGTTTTGTCATAATTATCCATTTTTAAAATCAGGGTACAGTACACGTTTTTAAAATAAAATAATTTCTGTGCTAATAATAATTAATGTTAATAATTTGTATGTTACTTTAAAATGAGCAAGTGCATTTAAAAATTATTTTTTTATGATTTTTTTTGTCATTTTCAAGGGACAATATTTTGTTTACAAATTGCAATCAACAATTTAAATTTTGAATACTACCCTTTTTTCTTCGTCCCACACATAATTTTTTTTCCTCATCAAATCGTTAACTACAATTAACCCAAATTGGAAATTGGAATTACAAATGAATAACAATTTATATGAAGAAACAATTAAATCTCTTAGCTTTAAATATAATATATTCTATAATAACCCTATGGATAAGTATACAACTCGCATAACTTAATAATTAGTAGGTACTGTATTTTTAATATAAAGATGTCTCCCTCATTCTGCTAAATGTTAAACAATTCTCCATCTCTTTATGGGACGATATTCCCAAACTAATCAAGGTAATTTGTGATACAGTGTTTGGAAAAGAAACTATACAACACTATTAAACAAGATTTTCTATGCATTTTGAGTAAATCATTCATATTTTTTTTCTTTGGTATTCTTAGTTTCAAAATGTCTATTTGAAAATGTTCAACAAAAATCATAATTAACATACTGTACTGTATTTATAACAGACTGACATGTCTTATGCTTAGATTCGGTGAAATCAATCAATGTATTAAAACAATTAATAAGATAATTTATCATAAATATACTCTATCTCAAGGACTGATAGACACTAATTATACTTGATTAAGCTAAGTTATAATTAGCATCAAAATGTCACAAAATCAAAATCGTATCATGGAATGCTCACATGATTAGTTTTGTAATGGCTTTAATAATAATCTGTTTTCATGCTAAGCTTCCAATATTTGGATTATCTAGACTACAACAGAACATTTTGAGGCACTTTGGTCCTCCTACGCCTCCTGCTTCGTCTTCCAAATAAGTACTGAGTATTTCATGTGTTGAAGTCTACCAAAAGAGACAGATCAGTGATTTCCCTTTATTGATCTCATCCTGGATTTCATCTTGCGAGGTAGAAATATCTGCCTGCACAGAAAGAATCGAGCATACAAATAATAACACTGTGGAACCCATTGCCGTGAAGTAGGCCCAGCCGATCCTGCAGTCCCCAACCTGGAAAGGATCCGCATCCTGTCCGCATACTTGCTTCACGCTCTCGGATCCCCATCCAATGGGGTACAAGCACAGAGCTATGATGATAAATAACCCTGAAATGAATAAATACAATCTACTATTAGTAAAACATTATGACAGATGTATGCCTATTATCTTTTTTTAATCATCCATACTACCAGTAACTAGTTAATCATTAATAGTAATTGATACAAAGTTCGTATACAGTAGAGCCATTGTAGTTTATATGAATAAAAAATTCTGTTGGAAATTTTTTTTTTATTTCAAAATCAATTGACCATTGCAATATTGCTGTTAAAAATAAAAATAATAAATTCAAGAGAGTTTGTGGAGCATCTCACATGCCAATTATTTCCACTATCATATGTGAAAAAAAATAAACATAGAGTTGTCATAGATTTGAATGCAATGTGCTGTCATAATCAATAGCAGTAACATTATAGAATATTTCACCAGGAAGGTGAGACATACAGTATATGTTCCATAAAGACTGACAATATTTTTATTTTTTTTTAAATGTTATTTCTTTAAGTTACACATGCGCCAAGGATTGCCAATAGTGAATTATATCAATGTCTTACTTGCAGGTGACAATCCCTGTCGTCACAAGACAAACATACACACACAATGCTTTACACAAGCTACACAAACTAAATCTCAATGTGAGGCTTAGCAAGTAGCCCAGCAAACACAAAACGTTCTTATAATGTTTGCAAATCCTGCACCACTGACAGGAATTGAACCCAGGACCCTGAAAATCCAAGCATCCTAACCACCATGCTATTTAACTCCACTCCATATATACAGTTGATACTACTGTGCCTGGACCTCAAACAAGAGTTCACAGAATAATGAAAGATTTCTGTCAGTGTACCACCTAATTTTTCACCTACAGTGGTGCATACTCCACCTTCTATAGGTCTCCAAATTTCCTATTTACTCAACACAAGGACAAATTAAGTTTACTATCTACGGGATGACTAAGAATTATTGACAATCAAGTGTCATCTTTTGGAGGAGTTTCCTTCGATGAAAACACAAATTACTTCCCTCGCCTTCCAATTACAGGGTCATAGCACTGTATTGCCAATCCCAGTAAGTACCAGGATTATTATCACCCAAGACATAAACTCCACTCCCAAAATATTATAGATTTGATTAGGCAGTGTGAGTAGAAATTCATCAGGTTTGCTGGTTGTATCAAGAGGGCAGTGGTGACCCTAGAATACAGTATTACAGTAGGCCTACTTTCAGATGTTGGGGTAAGCTGGAGAACAGTGTCCAGGAGAGCTCAAGCCCCAGGCATTTAAAGACATCTTGAACAATTTTGGGCCATTTTAAGTTGTTCTTGGACATTCTAGAATGTATTAAGGAAAGAAAATTTAACAAAAAAATGTTTGTTTTCCCTATTTTGGTCCTATGAGTTGGACTGAGAGCAGTTGGTGCATTGGTTATGGCTTGGACTCCCAACCTCGAGGTCGGGGGTTCGAAACTCTCAGTGTGCAAATCGCTTGTGTCCTTAGGCAAGGCACTTTATCTACGGTTGCCTCTCTCCCCCAGGAGTACAAGTGGGTACCTGGTAGGTTCCAACACAACTGCGCTGATTAATAGCTGCAAAATTATGGAATAATAGTATAATTTAATTTAATAATTTAATTTGGTGTTCAGTATGTGTTCCATATGTGTTTGATCCAATGACTGGGTAGTAATGTGAAGCGCTATATAAGAACGACATATTACTATTGTTATAATTATTTGGTCCCTTTCCTTTTTGTTTTGTCACTGAATGCAGTATGTTCATCATAAAGAAAAGATTGATGACAAATGTCATATCTGTATAGAATACTTAATTATATGTTATATCCTTTATAGTACTGTATGCTCCTTTTACTCATGTTTGAAATAAGCTCAAATAAAAAAAAATTATGCTCGACCGACCCAAAATTAGTCTTCTTTTTTTTTATTAGAACAAAAAATATTTTGATTATTGAACTAAAAAGACTATCTTGCTGGACGGTAGGTGATACGACAGTGTATGTGATCTTTTTGCTTTTAAATATAGATTTTAAAATGGTCTTTATTGTTTTTTGTGTATTTTCAACTTTTTAGGCATAAACATTTTTCCTACTGTACCAACCTACCCATTTTTTGGGATTTTCCCAAAACGTGGCCTAATTAAGCTGACAATTAAAGATAGAATTTCTTTATCCTCGTAAAAATCGCAGGGACTACAGCAGTGTTCAAAAAGATTTTATAAATGATGAAGGAAAATCTTCTTTCTCCATGTCTTACCTCAATGAAATGGAATAAGGTTAATGACCTGATGATGTGTCTGATTATGTTGCTAGAGTGGGTGGAGGGTTATGAGAGACCTTCATGGCCCACAGAGCCAGTCTTGTTTACAACTTCCACAGCACTTTTGATGTGCTTAGTCATCAACACACCAACTGGTAGGCCTACTAACATAGAAAACTTCCTATACTGTACCACTCAATAAATATTATGATTTATAGCCAACTTAGGTTAAAACTAGGTTAGGTTGCTTCCTTCTTGTCAATTTACAGAAAATTTTGTTCCTTTCAGTCATTTTTTTTGTTTCTAAAATAAAACCATATAATCCTACATCCAATATTATTTTCATGTGCATGTAATTCTGTTTCTGCGTCATGTTTGAAAGACAAAGGCCGGCCAGTTAGACAGGTGCTTGAGACATTTTTAGTATGGTAGTAAAATACAGAGATATATCCAAAGATGAATTTTATTCTATGGGTGGCCTACCGGCTAAAACATCACATAAGGCCAAGTAAAAAGTAATGTGCTTCCCGTCAAAATGTTTTGAAAATAACAGGTTTTTAGATCAAATATGCTAATCTCCAAATACACGATTTACATAAACAGAAGTAAGGAATTTGAAATTACCACTATTAGTACAACATACTCCAGAATGAAAAGTATTGAAATCCTCAAAAATATAGTTATAGTCGCCGATATGATGTATTTTTGTACCTGCGATTTAACACACAATATAAAATCTTTTAAATTTATGAATGATTCTAAACACACTGTTGATGTTTACCAGGATTTTTGCAAACATGGTTTTAGGTCTATTTATGTACAATTTTGTAATTGAAGCTGCACTTAAAGCCATTGCTCAAAATCCATCGCAATAAAAAAAAAAAAAAAAATCCATGTCCAACCTCTAGTGTTTAAAATCAGGCTTACACTAAAAAACAAAATGCTGATTGGTGTTTCATTAAAAAGATTTTATGTGGTACCAATACTGGATAAAACACTACTAGGTGCTAATTGCGAAGATATCAAATTTTTAAAAAAACAACAAAAATACAAAATTAATATTGTCCGACTTAGTATTATTTACAGCTCCCTGCTACACCATTACTCATCAAAATCTGTGAGCAAATTTGAAACAATGATTACTTAAGTGAAGCACTAGGATGTCATCACCTACCATGGAAGGCATCAGCTCTTACTACAGTAATTTGTTTACTGATTGCCTTACATTTGCACACAGCGGGTCAAGCGGAGATGGGTCACTGTAAAGTACAACATATACTGCACATTCATATTGTCACAATCAATAAGATCGTGATAAGATCAATTTCATTCTTATCCTCTACAATTTGCAGCACAATCTCCAACAATTATCTATTATTAGGTTGTACATAGAAGAGCTCTAAACATAAATGCAGAGATAAAAAAAATCATATTAACTATTATTATTATAAACAGCAAATGTATTCATTGTCTCAGAGACAAAGTGATTATTGTTATCCAATTCTAAAGTAGATTATTTTAATTTTAGTAATTAATAATAAGTGTTGATAAGATCAATTTTATGCTTATCCTCTACAAATTTGCACCAAAAGCTCCAACCAATTAGTTATTATTAAGTTGTTGTACATAGAAGAACTTGAACATAATAACCTATATTAATTCAGAGATAAAAATCATTATTAACAGCAAATGTATTAATCTTCTCAGAGCCAAAGTACTCAAGTAATCAGCCTCATCCAATTCTAAAGTAGATTATTTTAATCTTAGTAATTAATCCATTCTGGATATATAGCCAATTCATAAATAATACATAAACATCCATGGCCATCAATGACAAGACATGAATCAGTGATTGTTAATCTCAATTATCCAACAAATTATTAGTAAACTAATCAATTAAACTAATTTATGATAATAAATTGGGAAATTATTTCTAAGTTAATATACCACAGAACTAATTTAATTATTATAACATTCATAAAATTAGTTGATCATTTTAACAAATTAATTTATTCAATGAGTCATTTTAAATGTTTAAAACAAGTTACCATATTTACTAGAACGATTTGCATTGATTTAATGCTAAGGAAGTGTTCTGTTATTTTTCATCATTTTCATAAGAGTACAAAACATACTCTTTTCTGTGACCCCCTCCCCCTGAAAAGAAATGATGATTTGTATCATTTTGAGATCATTTTATCTTTTTCATAAAATAGTACGCACGCCTTCACTTTCAACCCCTCCCCCACCCTAAAGCATATGTTTTGTACTCTTTTGAAAATGTTGAAAATTATGGATGGCACCTAACTACTACTGTATATGTTACTCATGATTAACATTTACTAGTACTTGTGAATAAATGCTACCTTAGTCATTAAATATAATTTCCTCTCTCTTGGATTCATAACTATTTAGTCAGAAAAGTAAAAGAGTACATTTACTTTTCTTGGTTTTGGTAACCACAAATAGACATAGAGCACCAGGGAGGACAGTACAGTCATGACTGTAAATCATAAAAGCTGCTTAGTAATGTACATGTTGGTCAAAGTTCACACAGACGTGTTAAAACATTGATATATAATATCAAGGTATTGTGCAGGTATGACATTTAGTTGACAATGTGTTTAATCGAAAAATGATAGATTGATTGATGCACAAGTTTCCGGACTTTGATCCCTCTCAATTCTAGCTAGACAAGCAAGAACTTTAGATATACTGTATGACTTTGTGATTATGTTTACTTTAAAAACTGTATTTACTTTTCTACAGCTATCATAAT